AGGAGAACAGCAGACTGATTCCGAGAGTCGCCGCTCTGTCTCTCTCGCACGAATACGGGACGCCCCGCGAGTGCGAGAGAGACAGAGCGGCGAAAACGACTCTCAGTCTGCAGAGCGAGAGCGAAACGCTTTCTTGGGAGGGAATAAAACGGAGCGGCTTCACCTTCCCCTCCGCGATCCGCTCTTCCCCTTTTCGCCGCCCTAAGTGGCCGACTCCCTCCACTCTCCGTCTATAGTGTACCTCCACGTGTGGCGCTTCTCCACGCTGCGGGCGGGGCGGGGCGGGGCGGGGCGGGGCGGGGCGGGGCGGGGCGGGGCGGGGCGGGGCGGGGCGGGGCGGCGTGGCGGCGTGGCGCTCTAGGGCATGAGTATCCATTACCCCGGCCTGCGTCGCTGCCTCGCTGGCTGGCATTGCCTTGCTATGGGGTGGGTCGGGACAACGAACCAGCATGCGAACCCCGCCCTCCCGGCCCCGCCCCGCCCCGCCCGCCCGAGTTGTACAGTAAGGGCCGGCCCTCGCCCTCGCCACGACAAAACGGCGGTGGGGCCGGCCGTGCCGGGCATGGGGAAAAGGGAAAGACGAAAAAGTAGAAAAAGGGGGGGGGGCAGAAAAGAAGGAGCGGAAAGAAAAAATGATTGGGTCACGCCGTGGCCATAAAACGTAAAGCCTTGCGGAGAGTTACCGCACCGCCCGGCCGGCTGGCCGACGGCTGGCCGTTCAATGGCTCGACCTCCGTCAGGACATCAGGAGGTAGGTCACTTTTCGAAAAGAAAGGAGAGAGGGGAGAAATTAAGTGCGCGCCCCCGGAACCCCGGTGGAAGCCAGCTAGTGCTGGTTCGCACACACACACACACACATGCACGCGAGTAAACACACGCTTACACACGCACACCCCTACAGTAAAGCGTGTAGCATTGTATTTGGCGGGCGCATGCGGCAACTCCCGATTGTCGTGGCAGGGGAGGGATAGGCGTATTGGCGTGCCGAGGGGAAGGGGTTATTGAAGGGTAGGGGCAGCGCCGGGCAGCGCGGTGGTCGGTTGTGTTCACACAACAACACAACGCCCAATAACGCAACACTAACACAACACCGACACACCAGCGCGCGTCGGGTTTGAAAAGCACGCGTCGCTTGGGGGTGGTTTTGATTGCACAAGCCGGTAGGGGGGTCTCCCCCCCCCCCCTCCTTGTGCCGAGCCACGCCGCTTGTCAAATCTGAGACGTGAGCGCCTGCTAGGTAGGCAACTCATCCGGCACTACCCTGCGCGGTACGGGGGTGGAAGGGTGTGGAAGGCGGTGGGAGAGGGGTCTGTTTCCCAGCGTTTCCCGGCCCCAGGTAAACAACACGTCTACACGTCAGGGGCCGTTTTATTGTCCGCGAAGGACAACAAGGAGGGAGTCAGCGACAGAGACAGCGACAGAAACGGAGGCAGCCACAGAGAAAGGGAGACGCACAGTGGGCCAGAAGACCGGGGGAGGCGGACAAAACTCTAGACGCGTTTTGAGCTCCAGAGTCGCTAAATGGGACTCGAACCGAACGTGTGACCCCACCAATGGATTGCTCTCCGAACGAGGACGAGGGCAGCTACACTGCCACGGAGATACAGAGGCAGCTACAGCGCTACAGAGAGACAAAGAGACGGAGACAGAGACAGCGCCACGACGCTGGCAGGGGCCAGCGGCAGCCAGCGGGGACTCGGCCTCCGGGGGGCAGTCACACCGTCACACGCACGGTGCTCGCCGTTCGCCGTGTCCGAGTCGACTCTGTGACCACGCAGCACGCCCAGCACGCCCCGCCCCACCCCACTAGAGGGACGCAGAGGCCGCCTGCAGGGTCTGCATAGGGCCCCTTTCACTGGGCACGGGCTCCGGGAAGTGGCCAAGGGCAAAATGTGCTAAACGTCCCCCCTGAAGCCGGCCCTGGATCCGCCACTGCAGACGTACAGACGGGCGAACGGACGGGCGAACGGACGGGCAGACAGACGGACCGCCGTCGTGGTCCAGCAGCAGTCCAGCATGCAGTCCCAGCATTCCAGCAAGAGCCGCAGCGCAGAGCCCCGCATGCCAGTCGGGTAGCGAAAGCGTGGCTGGGCGGGGCGGGGCGGGGCGGGGCGGGGCGGGGCACCTCCGAGTCTCCGAGCTCACGCATTACAGCGGGTGGCTGCTGGCCAGGTTGCGGGCAGCGCTGCCTCCACCGTGCTCCAGCGGGTGGCCGCCCGCCCACCTCACCGCGCCGGCCCAGCCCACCTGCGCCCTGAGTAGTTAGAAACTCGAGCGCGCTTACTTACTGCACGTCGGGAGAAAGGGAAAATGAGCGGCGCGGTCGCAGCGCACCTCCAAAAACAGTGCTTCTCTCTCACTGACAACGCCGCGCTTCCACGTCCCGCGTGGGTGCGAGAGAGACAGGCGTTCTGGACCGCGGCCTGGCCGGGGGGCACACTGGGGGGCACCTCGGCCGAGCTCGGCGCGCTGCGGGCCGAGGTGGCCGCGGAGATGACCGTCTGGCGGGGCAGGTGGCAGGGGAAGCAGAGGCAGGGGCGCTGGGGCCATGGCGCTGGCTTAGCGAACATATGGCCGCCTCTCCGCCTCTGCATTGGACCGAGCCGCCCCTACGTCCCACGCTGCAACGCGGGCCAGCCTGGAGGCAGCCTGGAGCCCCGGCGGCACAGCCAGGCAGGCAGACAGCAGCCAGCCAGCCAGCCAGCCAGCCAGACTCAGTGCATGAATGGCCGCCATGCGGCTTATGCCCCTGAAAAGGCACCCCTCCCCCTCTTTCCATTCAATACCTTCCTCATTTTTTTCGCGCTTCGCCTCTTTTCTTTTCCATCCCGGGATTTGAACCCGGAGCCGCGCGAGATTGTGCGGCGAGCTTTACGCGCAGCGCGCAGCCTCCGCGGCTCAGCAGGCCGGATGGCGTCGGATGGGCATGTAAACGGCTGGTTATGAGCCGCGGCGCACAGTGGGCCAGAAGACCGGTGGAGGCGCCAAAATCTCTGGACGCGTTTTGAGCTCCAGAGTCACTAAATGGTACTAGAACCGAACGAGTAACCCAAGGAGTAACCCCTCCAATGGATTGCTCTCCGAACGAGGAATCCATTGGTGGGGTCACACGTTCGGTTCGAGTCCTGTTTAGCGACTCTGGAGCTCAAAACGCGTCCAGAGTTTTTGCCACCTCCACCGGTCTTCTGGCCCGCTGTGCTGGAGGAATTCCCCCGCCGTTCCGGTCCGCTCTGCCCGTTCCGGGTCGTCGGGGTCCCTGGGGAGTGGCGCGGAATGGCGCGGCATCGACGGCGGGAATGCCGCCCCGTCGAGCATTCTGGTTGGCGTCCCGGCCGTACCGTCCCGGCCGTACCGTCCCGGCCGTACCGTCCCGGCCCACGCCGCCAGGACTACCAGCGTGGTGGACGGCACCTTGAAATTGGGCGCGACGCCCGCCATGGAGACGAGTTGCGTGGCGTGGAGACAAGGCCTGGCTGGCGTTCGGACACCTCCCCGGACACTCACCGTCTCAGCTGTGTTTAGGTGTGTTGACACAGCTGGTGGCGCGGCGCGGCGGGGCGGGGCGGGGCGCGACGCGGCGGCTGCCTGCTCGGAGCTCCCCGAGCCCGGCAGCGCGAAGGGCAGTGAGGGCAGCGGGGCCTCCGCCCCCGTCATCCTGGTGGCCACTGGCCGGGGCTGCGTCCTGGAGCGCCCCGTCACGGCCGCGGCATGGTTCGCCTCGCCCAGGATCGCCTGGTGCGGGCCTGCGGGGGCGGCCCCAGCGCGTCCGCGGTGCGTTGCGCGCTGCGCGCTGCGCGTGGCGGCGCTTGGCTCGGACCGACCGCGGGACCGCGACGTGGTGGCAGTCCACTCCACTCACGTGCGCCACGTGCTCGCGGAGGGAGCGCCCCGAGGACTGTGGCGGTGGGGCCCGCTGGCGGGGCGCTCTGTCTCCGTCCCGCTGCAGGGCCCGGCCCAGGCCCGGCCCAGGCCCGGCCCAGGCCCCCACGCCCCCTTCGTCCCACAGCTGCGGCCGTGGCGCTATCTCGCGGTGCATCGGCGAACCACGACGTACGCTCGAGGGTGGCGGAGAGAGAGAGGGAGAGACAGCGGAGGGTGGCGCGCCGCCCTGGATGGCTGAGGCCGCCTGGCCGCCCAGGCGCCCACCCCCGACCCCCTTCAACAGAGTTTGCTGCCCCCCCACCGGGCCCCCGCCGCCCCCGCCAGCCCCCGCCCCTCAAACGGTGACGTCAGTGGTCGATACGGGCTGGGGGAGGATATGAGGCAACCACCCCCCCCCCGGCCGTTTTTACCATGACAGGCAGCAGACAGTGCACTGTGGCTGTGGGGGTACCAAAGAACCCATTCCCCCCTCCACACACACACACTTGCGCTGATGTCTTTATGCGTCGACACCGGCGCGGAGCTTTACTGGGACAGGGATCTGGCCGAGATCGATTGGCTATTAGCCAGGGGCGGCACGTCGTTGCTCACAAGAATAACAGGAAAAGTAGCGATATACATCGGCAACTTTGGCCCGTCCCGTAAATTTAGAAATGTGCGAATATCGCCTATGCTTGACCCTAACGAGATTTGAACCTGAGTCTGGGCTCAAAATAGATGTTATTTTCGTCATCAGCACCCTCAAAAACATCTGAAACTACTGTATGCAAAATTTTAAATAAAAAGAATGTTTAAAATATACCCCACTGGGATTTGAACCCAGGTCCAAACTTCTCCGATTCACTTGAAACTGGCACCGTTGGTTTTGTCTCGTCGCCCCGATTCCAAAATTACCCCTACATGCCTTTCTAGCTGTATCCGTTGTCGAAATCCTCCTCGACCCCATGTAGACCATGATGCACCTGCAGCAACGCCCCCGGGGCCCGGATCGGATTTGCTGCCATCGGGCGGTTCGTGTGCGTGTGTGACTGTGAGTCTGAGCTGCTATTGGTCCCAGATTTTATATACTGTGTGAGAGGGGCAAAAAGGGAGGAGAGAGTAATAAATGAGAATTTTCGTTTCAAGAGCATCTTGAGTGGGGACTTATTTTATTAAACACAATCATAAAAATAACAATAGCATATCATATACTTTGAACAATTTAAAGCAAGAAATATCACAGCAGGCTCAATTTTTAGTAATTGACAGTTGTGGGTTCATCATAAATCTGAACAAGGTGTCTTGCATATCCTATAAAACTCAGTACACATACTTCATCTAATTGAAGCAAATAATGCTGCACATAAAGTAACAATTGTAGTAAGGTTCATATTGTTTGTGACAAGAAAAATTACAACAGATAACATGGACTTGCAACAGAATAAACCTGCTCTCAAATTGAATCAGGTGATATTTTTTTTTTTTGTGAAACCTACAGTGCGCATATACCAACCAAATTCAATATTTTTATATGCAACTGTATATCTTAACAATACATATCACAGAAACCTTTTCTTTATTCTTTTCTTTAAAAAAATAATATAGTAAAACAATGCACAGATTTGTATTAGGTGTATTACTGAAATCCTTTCCCAAAGCCATACCATCTATCAGGAGCTGTTAGAAAATAACTGTGCATAGCAGCTATAAACCGGCTTTGGTAGTCTTCAGGCTGAACTATAGTTGGAGCTTTACCCTGGCCAGCCACTTTCTTGAAAACATTTTCCAAGCGCTTGTCCCAAGTGAAAGAGCGAATGTAATCTAAAACAAATTGAAAGAAAGCATAAAATTAACTTCCCTAATTGTAGTTTGTATTTGTTATGACACAAATAGAGAGCATACTTGCCTATTATTCCAACCACCAACTCCTTACGAGATTGATCAAGACCGACCAATAGAGAGTAATCCATGACAGACTGGGAAGTCAAGAACTCTGTATCTCTTTTGATGGCTTGAGTGAGCACAGACTTGGCATGGGGAAGAACATATAGAGGCATATCTCGGGTGACTAGATTAGAAAGAAAAAAACACAATTCATTAGAAACATCAAAATTCTAAAATTAACAAAAGCATGTAAAACTTACTCTTCAATAAATTTTCATCCAGCAGAACAACTTCTTCTCGTGGCTCAGACCCAGGGTTGACCAACCGGTTTCTTATTGAACCCTTAAGATCAAATTTATGGCTGACCTCACGGCCATAAAATAAATTCTCCATAATGAGAAGATTTGATCTTGATGCAGCCCCAGTCAAATCATTTTTGAATACAATACGATAGACACCCAATATTTTGCCCAACAAGGTGGGACGATGGTTCTTGTGATTGTCAGTCATGTATGAAAAGAATCGAGGAGCTCTATCCAAAAAGTGACTGAGCTCTGTTTTTGACATCTCCTTTATGACAAGACGATCATCTACAATAAAAAGTTTAACATGTTAAAACTATGTAATAATTTAAAAAATAAGAGAAAAAAGTGACTAAAATTTAAATTTTTGATTCCAACCTCTTGATTTGCAAAATGTTGATCCTGATTTGCCTCCACGAGCTGCCCAATGGACACAATGAGCCAAAGAACGAATAAAGGCCTCTTCACCCCTAGGCCAAATGAGGCGTCTCAACTTTAGAAACTCTTCAGCATAGAAAATACGACAGTAAAAGTTGGTGGAGGCATCGCTGAACTGAACCTAAACATAAAGGAAACAATGTTGAGATTCTGCAAAAACTCCCAAATCAGCTCAAGGATAAATTAAGAGGTTCTGAAAAATACCTCAATGTAAGTGGGGCTTTGTTGAGCTGCTGCTGTGGTTGGGCTGCCAATGCCACTAGTTGTAGGGCCATCAGGTGCAGCATTTGGAGGAGGGTTAGTTACACTAGTTGTGTAGGCTACACCTTCAATGTTACCAGAATCTTTAGTTGCTCTGAAAATTAGATCAGGAAATGGGAATGCTCACTTGATTTAAGAAAACATTAAACTACCACCAATTTTCTACAAATTTGTATTTTCAGTCTAGTGCAAGTAAGCCACTAAAAGTCATGCAGGCAGAAACCAAAATGATAGCTTACGCATTGGGTGATCCCCGCAAGAAAGATAAAACACCCCCACGCCGGAGTTCAGAAGATTGCAATAACTCCCCATTCAAACTATCTCGATCTTTATCTTTATCTCTTTCTCTTTCAATATATCCTTGAACTTTTTTAGGGGCTATGGAAGCTCTGAATAGAAAAAATATGAGGGGCCATGACAATAATTGCATAGATAAAAATCAACTGGTGTAAATACTGTAGAATGGATTTTAAAAATCTTAAGCCAACGTGACACAGACAGTGAGAAGGATGGCAAGTACAAGATTCCTGATAAGTCTAAAAAAAAGGGAAGTGCTTGGTGGTGAATGGAAATTTATAGGTCCCATGTTAGTGAGAGAATACAGTGCCACAGGTTTATTTAAATTCCACTGCAGTGAAAGGTGATACTATGCTTACCCTGAGCTGTTAGCAGTTTCTGAAGGTGGGTGCCTAACCATTTCATCTAAACTGCGTTGATAGTCGTGAGTTGCAAGGGCATGGGCAATTATGGTGCTGGGCTGACTTTCCCTCACACCAATAGGAATAGTGGCACTTGACCTTGGCATGATATGAATTTCTTGGAGTTTTTGTGGAACCTTAAAAAGAAACAAGAAACCTAAACTATGAAAATCCTCTACAAGGATTAAAAATGACATTGCTTGAGTCTGAGTACTATTTTACCAATATAGAAGAGAGCATTGGGCCTGAGGGCAAGAATTGAGACAAAATAGTTTTAACACTCTTGGATTGCATTGACTGCAGAGTTGGGGGTTCAGACTGGTCTGTTAGAGAGTCTGCTTCAGAATCTACTGTTGATGATAGACGACTGAAAGTAACATCAACAGATGGCACTGATAAAAGTTCACTGGATGCTGATCCAACGGATGCAACTTCTGTAAAAGTAAATTGAAATGGAACATTAATTTACAAACTTAATGAAAATTTTATATTGAGGTACAAAAAAACAAATGCTTACTGTCTGAGTTTCCTGGTGTTTCAAAGCATATTGGTATGCTAGTTTGTGACACAGAGAAATGTTGGTCTGATTCTTTTGCTATTTCTTCTTTGGAATGGAGTATTGCCTGGAAAATGGAGAGGTCAGTGAATAATAAATATACAAGTAGTACAGAAGATAACAGAAAGGGAAGGGAGATAAAATGTCTTACCTCATCAGCAGTTTCATGAGGAACATTCACTGATCCTTTAGCCATTCTTGATCGGTCTTCCAAAGCTTTAAACCGTGTGTTCCAGTTAGCCACGGCTTCAATTATAAGGCGGTAAAGGTCAACAACTGTATCCTCTAGCTGCCACAATATTTTCCAGTGTCCTGCATCTGCATTAATATATAATGAGCAATAATTATTACCAACGTTGCTCTAAAATCAAATTATAGATGAGATGGCTCTTTTTATCTTATGGTACACTACCTGTTAAAGGATGACATGTATCTAGCACCTCTTCAACCCTTGCTTTAAATTGGGCTTGATCCTTTTGGAGTTGAGTTTTTAATCCTAATGCAAATGAGGAAAAAGTACCAACAAGTTTAGATTAAACAATAGATTTGGCAACAACAAAATCCTTGAGGATATCTTACCAGAATCCTCTGAGTATGTTTCAAAGATGCGCTCTAGTACTTGACTGAAAACCTCTTGCCCAGCAACAGCAATGTCACTTATTTCATCTGATACTAAAGCCATATGTTGTGTTTCCCAGTCCAGCTTGACAAGCTCTGGAGGCAGGGAAACCTCCCATATAAATATAGGGGAATACCTACGGAAAATACATCGGAAATTTCAATCAATCAATCACATAACCCCTCTCTTTGCAACATGTAGAGCTCTGCATTAGAAACCCTCTCTGCCATGTGCATGCGTTTAGACACGTCTAGAGCGTTTAGACACGTTTAGAGAGTTTAGCCCGCGGCTCCCGAGGGCCAATTTCTGGTAAAGTAAGATCTAACAGGGTTACTTTAATCCGGCAGTACGGGGGCATAAAACAAAATAATACCAGACTTGTTACCAAATTACCAAAAACAGAAAAGAAAAGAAAATACTAACTTGAAAGATGCTACAATGTTTCGGTAAGCAAAGTATTGATAGAAGTCATGATGAAGAGAATGAGAACATGGAGAGGATGCTTGATCAGCTTTGTCAACATGCTCTTCTCTGAGACAATACATGTCTCCATGAAACCGCAGCTCTAAGTACTTTCCAAATGACAAAGACCAAGTATCAGGTGACATTGGAGTAACAGGAGAAACCTGTAAAAGACAAACCTGTTTATTTTTTTCATGTTAAAAGGATTTACCTTGTTGAATAGTAACTGAGAGATCCTTACCACACTGCATTGGCTACAGCAACTCCACATAAGAATGTGATCATTAGAGGGAAGAGAGCCAACTCCATCCACAAGCTGTAATGTGACTTGGACACAGCCTGGGTAATGCACAAAACGCCGCACATGTTGAAGCATTGATGTTGTGCATGTTTGAGACGGGCAAGTAAAAGTTGTGCGGAAACAATAGCGCTCTAAGAAGCTACCCAAGGTAATATCATTTCGACCATAAAAATCCATTTTCACAACCCTGAGAACAAATTCTCATTAGCATCATCAACGCTATGATGATATTAATAATTATTAAAAAAACAACCATACCATGGATTGACACAGAAGGAAGGTGCATTTTGAGAGAAGGTTGAGTAGCTGCAAAATAACACACATAAATGTTGATGGTTGCCTGGATCCAGAACATCAATGTTGCTTTCATCAGATATAGCTGGCTGATGCGGTTGGGCAGGTTGACTCAGAGTCGGTTGGAGAGTGTGATTAGGAGAAATACGTCCTCCACAAGCTCGAAAATGTGCTAAAATAGCTTGCAGTTCATTGCTAGAAGCTTCAACAGTTATTTTCATTTCCATAAAGCTGTGTTTTGGAGCGAGCTGAGAATAAAACATAGCTTCCTGAATTAACAAATTCAATAAAGATAAAATATATTTCCATCAGTAGAAACTTTGATAAAAACCTTAGAATCACATGGATAGGAAGGTACTTCACAACTAATGCCGGTTCCACCTCGGCTTCTACTGCTTTCATTTTCATGAAATTGTTCAGACCAATAAACTTCAGATGGAAAATACTGACGCAATATGCAGGAGCGTCCCTGATCTGTCTCCAAGTAGGGAACAGTGAACTGCAATCAACAAATTTTTAGGTAAGCATTGTAACTTTGCATAAACAAGGGAAACTTTAAGCCCTACAGTACCTTGAGGTATGGAGACACTGAAAGAATGGTGTCGTCTAGAGCCTTACGAAACTGGTTCAAGTATGGTATTTTGGCAACAGCAAGACATTGGGCTCCACTGGCTTGCACACTGTTTGCTTCCTCTCCCAGGGTGAGGTACTGATGCAGTGGATCACTGAAGTCACTTATGCTTTCGGCTGTTACTCTCTTGGTGGTATCTGGCTGGTCGGAACTATTTCTCCTACGAGACTTCTGAGAAACACTTGGATCAACATTTACCTTCTGATTTGGTTTTGATTGGGAATTCAGATGAGCTTCTACTGCACTTTGATTATTCCTTTCAAATTGGTCACTACTCATAGGCTCCTCAAAAAAACTATCATTTGTAATACTTGGGGGACGAGCAAACTCATCCATTAAATATGACAACTCTAAGCGCCAATGGTAACGACAAAAGACCATGTGACGTGCAACTCTTTTCAGACGTGAGAGTTCTGATTGATTTCCTCCTCGAAGCAAGACTGAACAGCCAAATTGTGGCAATGGACAGCCCTCCAAGAACATCAATGTTTTAGAGCCACCTGAAAAATAAAGAAATTTGATCAAGTATATGTCATGCCCGGCATGTCATTCGGCATGCCCAAATATGTATGCTACTACCTTGTTCCGTTTTGAAGGTCCACATGTAAAATTTTTTACAAGTACCAAGCTGAGGGCGTCCTATCAGGGCATCAACCGACATTATGATTTGAGCCTGAGTGCATCTTGAAATTCGTTCCAAAACACTAATTTTCACATTCAGTGCGAGTGTGACACCAAGCATCCTTAGAGACTCTTGAGCAAGACGAGACACATTTCTTGACACCAATATAAGATCAGGCTGAAGGGCCTCTATGCGAGCAACTACATTGCGCAAATAATCTTGCTCCTGTGACATTTAAAAATCATTCAGTTTCATGACATCAATTGGTAAAATTTTAATCCCAAAGTTTGACACTGCACCTGCATCATGACAGGCTCCAGGGAGGCAAATCGCCCTTCCACCCTTTGGTAAACAATGGCACAATTCAAGAGAAGGATCCGCGGGTTTTCCAAACGAGTGTTCATTGAGCGGTGAGCAACATTTTTAGTGAATGCGATACCATTCAATATCTTGCACTCACTCCGAGTTCCACCAGTCACTTTTTTGAACTGGATATAACTGTATGAGAAAGGAGTCATATTATTTATCAATGCTACACATAATATGCAGTAAAAATAGTTATAGCACAAGGCACTTACTGACGAATATCTGTTTCTTCAGACTCATTAGTGGAGTCGGGGTGAACAACGGCCACCATTTGATGTACCAGAGGCATGACTATATCAGCCCAGGATTGGGAAAGGCCCTCAGAGTAGAGAAGTTGGTTCAGAAGTACTTGTTCGTGCTGACCATACTTTTCACTGATAGGGTAGCAGAACATAAATAGTAATACGTAAAACAATCCCTTAATGTCAATGAGATTTGATAGATAGTTAAATAGATTTACCTGAGAGCTGTGTATGCTTGCAGATCGCCATTGTCAGATCTGAGTTGGGCAATCTGATGCCAGGGAACAGGATCTTTATCTTGGTTTCTCTGACTTGAGTGGAGTAAGGCATAACTCAAGAGTTCACTGGAGGGAGATGTGGGTTGGGGTGATTGTTGTATCCATTCACCTGTTTGGAAAATAAGAATTAGGAATGATTGAGGTAAATAAATTAGAGCCACAAAAATAACATTGCAGTCAGTAAGATTATCTTACCAACAGCAGGTGTTGAAGGTGAGTTTGGTGAAATGTTTGCTGAGGGACGAAGGTGAACAGTACTTTGCTTTAAGTCAAGATCAAGTTGATATGTAGAAGGAGAGGATTTTATACTACCCTCAACATCTACTTCAGAAAGCAAACCTTCTGATTCAGAGTCTGCAAATACAAGCAGGGATGCAATAAATCACAATTACTCAGAAACAACTTGGAACTTAGAAATTTTAAATGGGCTTACCTGTTGTAGTGTTTGATTCAAACAGACGATGGGTCACTTCCTTTACCCATGAAGGCTCTTGTCCCTCCTGGCCAGCTGAGGTTTGGTCTGGTCTATCATAACTGCCACTCTGGCTTAGGGACAAATCTTCCCCCTTAAGCAGTCGATATAAAGCATTGCTGTCACTGAATCCTTCGTCAGTGACAGATTCAACAAATTTACCTCCAACAAGGGCTTCTCCTAGGTACAGAGCCTCAGATCTGAAAAATAGTAAGCATTTCCAAGAATGAACAATAGTTTAAAAGCAGCATAAATGATGCACTGAGCACTGAACAAATAGACAAACCTGTCACCAGCTTTACCATGCTCAATGAGCCAATCAACAAGCTGACTTCCAGTAAATACATCTTGATGAACTCTTAAACGTATACGCACAGTTTGCATAAGCAAACCTTTGCTTGGATGAGCTAACTGCTGACATAAAGCATACAAAAACCAGGTTCGGTTGTCTTCTGGCAACATTTTTGAGACAGGATGGTCTCTGGAAAAATAAGTTGAAAGAGTAAATACAGATTGCTTAATTTATCTGATGAGAACAGTGGACCAGTATTTTTTATGCTGACCTCCCTAGAGCAAAACGCTCCTCTTGATACCCAACAGAGGTTTTCCTTCGTAAGGAGGAACTGTAAGTACTGGGAGGAGGGCAACTGGCTCCTAGTCTGTCCTCCTCACTTCCAGCAATGTTAATAGATGCACTACTTATTATGAGGTCTGCTGATATGTCGGCTTTGGAGTCTGATTGCAGATATGAGTGAACAACTTTCCAACAGTATGTGCACACACGTAAATCGCCTGGATAGTACAAAAAGTTAATATATAGTTTCAATTTGCTTGGATTTTGTGATTCAAATGTGATTGTCTTACCTGTGCATCCTAATACCCTGCCGGGTACCTCTTGACTACAGCACCTAGAGCAAAATATCTGCCCACATATTCGGCAATGGTGTCGCCTCCTAAAAGTTGTGAACCGTTCACCACAGTCATAACATTCACGACTAACTGCATCAGGCATCCAATACTGTTTTAAGTCAGTTTCACCATATGCTTGTGGATTCTACAAACAAAACAAAATGATTAATGTTGCCACTTCAACTTTGGACACAGGAAGTCAGAGCAGAATACATACCACATTTCTTAGAGCGATGAGGTTACTAAGACGCTTGAGCACATTGGGAAGACTACGTCCTTCAGTAACATTGACGTCAAATTGAGACTGAGACACACCGGGGTCAATTGTCGTTGGCAAATTAACTGATGATGTGAGAGGATCAGTAAATCGTTCCTGTAATTCCAAGAAATTTGTGGATAGTGCCATGAAGAACGAATGATCAAATTTGTCGAAGCAAATAACAAAACAGAAATGTGTCATACTAACCTGACCACTTGTTGATCCTCGGCTTTCTCCTCCAGGTGATCCTGGAACACTCTTCTCTTTGGTCTCATCTGCAAGAAAAAGTTAAATTAATATCCAAACAGAGCAAGAGGGTTATGTAAAAGAGACACAGCCTATATTATGCGATTGATTTTATGAAAAACTCACGTTTATTTCCTTTAAAAAATTTGGCAATGAAGTTGCCAACACTAGATTGTTTGTCTTCTGGGCTTAAGGGGGCAAATTCCGTCAACTTCGATGTTGAATGAAGGTTCTTGCTCGTCATTTTGACAGCGCTGCCTGTCACGTATCAAGAGTTTCTTCTGCAGCCCCCGAAAGGATTTGGTTTACACTTTATCCATCTGCATACTGGAAGTCACAGGACTGATCCAGTGTTGACCAAGGAAATAAACAAATTACTTACAGCTTCGCCCAATGTCAACAACATCATGCGGGGACGGGGAGGGGTGGAAGAGAGGGAGAAGAGTGGTGGGGGCCCAGCTGATGTACTGAACGGGCAATTTCTCATTTACGTTGTTCACGCGTAGTACGTGAAGGCTGTGCTCAATTTCGATTTGTAGTCGTGTTGTGTTTTGATTGGCCTGTGGGAGGGGGATGCTGTCGTCCGTGTCGGCATTTTCTTAAAGAAGTAGTTTGAAAGTACCTTTTGTTTGGATTCTTCGTCTGCCCAAGCCTTTGTTGGGCCATTGAAGGTAAGTTCTTTCAATTTATCTCACTCGGATTGTTAGTGGCGCCTTTCTTTCCGTGGATTAATATTTAAGCTGACTTCATTGACAGTTCTTTCCTTGCGTTCCTTCATGAATATTCATTCATAATTTAGACTCTTCTTAGGTCAGTAACTTAAATTCATTAGACTTTTAATCGTTTGTTACTGCTGATTGAAAAATTTGCTCGGATATAAGTTACTTGGCTAAATATTTTCTATTGTAGGTTATGCCTGTGAGTCAGCAAACTTCTGTCTCTCTCCTTGAAGTCTGCGAAGTATTTTCGCAATTCCACTCCTTTTTTGTGTTTCAATAAATTTTGATCCCAGATTGTCATATCTCTCATACTTTTAATTTATTGGTTCTAAAGGCTCATGTAATGAGGTTATGTTTTGTATCACCACTTTGATTGAAAGCTTATACCTTCTTAAAAATTTGATGCTGATGTGATATCATTTTATTATTGTTTCAGCATTGCAATGGTTGCTGCCATGGAGGTGTCAACAGATGTGGAGATGAAGAGTGTGGATAGCCCAGCAGCAGATGTAGAATCTGCAGATTCGAAGAAAGACGTTGACCTGCTTAGCATTGCAGACATCCGGGAACATGCAAGGCAAATTGAAAAAGCTGTCCAGACCAAGGAGCCAAGATTTCTTCTCAGAGTGCTACGCTCTCTGCCTAACACCAGAAGGAAATTGAATTCTATAGTTCTCAGAGGCATCATCAATGGTCTGTTTACCTTCTCATCAGCTGACCGAGAATCCCTCCTGGTCTTTGTTGACGAACCCATGGATACAGACAGCTCTGCTGCAAACCAACGAGTGAGAAGTGGCAAGGCTTCAACCACCCCACTACTCCCAGAAGTCGATGCTTATGTACATCTCTTGGTGCTTGTCAGGCTGATTGATACTGGTAAACATCAAGAAGCAGTTCAGTGCTCAGAGCAGTTAATGTCCAAGTTAATGGGACAAAACCGACGTACGAGTGATTTGATTGCAGCGAAGTGCTACTTCTACCATATGCGCTGCTATGAGCTGACCAATCAGCTGGACAAAATCAGAGGATTTTTCCATTCTCGACTGCGTACAGCTACTCTGCGCAACGATTATGAAGGTCAAGCAGTCCTGATCAACTGTCTGCTGCGCAACTACCTGCACTACAATCTGTATGACCAAGCTGATAAACTAGTTTCAAAATGCAATTACCCTGAAACAGCTAGTAACAATGAATGGGCACGTTTCCTGTATTATTTGGGGCGTATAAAGGCTGCTCGTTTGGAATATACTGCAGCCCACAAACACCTTGTTCAAGCTTTACGCAAAGCCCCTCAACATGCTGCTATTGGCTTCCGTCAAACTACCCAGAAGTTGGCTGTTACAGTAGAGCTACTTCTTGGTGATATCCCTGAACGGCAAATATTCAGACAGGCAGCACTTCGTCGCTCTCTTGGCCCTTACTTTCAACTTACTCAAGCAGTAAGAATGGGCAATCTACATAGATTTGGTGAAGTTTTAGAGAACTTTGGCTCAACTTTCAGAGCTGATCATACTTATACTCTCATCCTTCGACTGAGGCACAATGTTATCAAGACTGCCATCAGAGCCATTGGTCTTTCCTATTCTCGCATTTCACCAGCAGACATTGCCAAGAAGCTTGGTCTGGATTCCCCTGAAGATGCCGAGTTCATTGTAGCCAAAGCCATTCGTGATGGTGTTGTTGAAGCTACCCTGGACCCAGAAAAGGGTTATATGCGCAGCAAGGAGAGTGCTGACATTTACTGTACTAGGGAGCCCCAGCTTGCATTCCATCAGAGAATTTCTTTCTGTCTGGATCTACACAACCAGAGTGTTAAAGCTATGCGCTACCCACCTAAATCTTATGGTAAGGAGTTGGAATCAGCTGAGGAGAGGCGTGAACGTGAGCAGCAGGATCTTGAACTTGCGAAGGAGATGGCAGAAGAAGATGATGATGGCTTCCCTTGAACATTATTCACCTGTTTTAACGAGTCTTAAAATCTGTGTACTACATCATCATCTAACAATCCTTTTGCTGTTGTACTGTATTTATAATACTTTGTCCCTTCTGACCTTCCTAGATTAACATTAATTGTATGGAATTTGTTAAAAATTAGAATAAATAATCCAGAAATTGTTAAGCAAATACTGTAGTTCTTCCTCCCCAGAGTCCAACTTGTTTCCTCACACATGTAGGGTTTTTACAGCTCCTGGAATGAATACAAAAGACACATGCACATGAATACAAAATTACCTTTCTAATAGTTTAAGGTACCAAGTACCATACTACATGTAACCTACTTCCTCTTTACAGATAATTTCATACAAAATTGAAAATAGATTGTGCGTGACGTCGTGAATTTTTGAGTTTGGTGCCCACAGTAAGTGACCAGTCTGCCCTTTAGAAATGTAAAATGTATGAAAGTCCCTGCTCGCCTTTTTATGCAACAAATATTAAGAAGACGTGGTACAGATTTTAAGGCACGTATTACTTAAACTAATAGAACATGTGAACACAAAAAATAACGCTTCCATTGTAAAAGTAAACGCAGGAGCGCACCTGCGTTTTAACGGCGCTGGTTGGTAGTTCTGAAAATGAGAGCCGTGGGAGGCGTCGGAATAGACGACTTGAGCTAGGCGAAAGAAGAGGAAGAAAATACCTTCCCGAACATGGCGGCCGGCCCCTCATTGGTCCTAGCAGCCGACGGCGGCCGTCCGCCATGTTCGGGAAGGTATTTTCTTCCTCTTCTTTCGCCTAGCTCAAGTCGTCTATCGCGTAGCTTGGTGGAATTTTCGGACGCAGCTGTGACAGACGGCTCTGCTCTGCTAGCAGCAGACAATTTGTCAAGTGAAGTCAAGTCAGCAATACCTTAAATCCCACTGGTTGTGCCTACCGCTTCGTACGTTTTGAAGGTAATTGTTAAAATTTATCGTTTCTTTGAAATATGCTTTTAGTTCTTTCTAAATTTTAGAGGTACCTTAGGGCCAGGTAGAATGTGTGTGTAGGTTCTGTGAGGCCAAGCACTTTTGTTTTTATGGTAGCATTCCTTTCTGATGCAGTTTGTCATGATTCAAATTGGGAGGCTGGCCGTATTCACCAGAAGTACTTTACCCCTTCTTATTGCTCGTCGCACTCTGAGGTTGGTTTAAGCTGATCCCAACTGATAATGTAACGTCTGCCTGTTCCTTGATGATGACACATACAGCTGGTATCTCAAACTCGTTCAATTTGTAATACTGATAATTGTTTTTTGCTGTCAATACATTTTCCATAACTGTCATTTATCATGATGAACTTTGGTTTTCATTCACAAGGTTTTCCAGTAAATTTGAAATTTGTGTGTTGAAGCTGTACAATCCCGTTACAAATTCAATTACTGTGTTTTTCACAAAATTAACTAAACCTTTTCTGTTTTGTCTTATTTCAGTATCGGTCCTGCTGTATTAACAGACACCACAATGACGGTCAAACAGAGATATGATAATATCACTAAATCAGAAGAGGATAAAAGGTTGTACAGAGGACTGCTTTTAGAAAATGGCATGAAAGTTCTCGTTATTAGTGATGATACTACTGATAAGTCTGCTGCCTGTATTGATGTTGCTGTGGGTGAGTTGTAAAAAATGTGAAGATGGACACACAGTGGCCACGGTTGCCATCAGCCAGGCATTCACCTATGGAGGCATGGGGCCACACATTTATGTAAAATGTATAGCTCCACAATGGAGATGGTCCGTATCATACCTGGTTACTGATACTGAGCAATATGTGTTTCTCTGGGGCCACTGTGATTGAATCAAAAATGTGTCCCAATTACTGCGACTTGTTTGTTTGTGTTGATAAAGCATTTCCTTATGTCCGTTTCAGGGTACATGTCTGATCCAGATGAGTTGCCTGGACTAGCCCATTTTTGTGAACACATGCTTTTTCTCGGCACTGAAAAGTATCCAGATGAAAATCAGTACAACAAATTTCTGGCAAATCATGCAGGGAGAAGTAATGCATTTACCTCAAGTGATCAAACAAATTACTACTTTGATGTTGCCCCAGATCGCCTGAAAGAAACTTTAGACATGTCAGTTTGCCATTTTGTAATCCAGTTCTCATGATTTTACTTTGTAATCATTACCACTATAATTTTTATTTTTTTATTTTCAGATTTTCTCAGTTTTTTATTGCTCCACTTTTCACAGAAAGTGCAACTGATAAAGAAGTAAATGCCATTGAATCAGAAAATGCTAATAATATTCTGAGAGATGCATGGCGTCTCTCACAGTTAAGGAAGTCTTTGTCCAAAAAGGGTCACCCTTACGCCAAGTATGGAACAGGTTGGTACTGGTGAGAAAGACTTATTTTACTTCCAATATATTTGTACCCATAACAATAAAAAATTATCCCCCCATAGGAAACAAAAAAACACTTGTGGAGAAACCAAAAGAAATGGGAATTTGTGTCAGGGAAGAACTCCTCAAATTTCATTCAAAGTGGTATTCGTCCAATATGATGAGTTTGATTATACTGGGCAGAGGTACGTTTAGCTCAACTTATATTATTTCTAATTATTATTACGTAACTCATTTGTTCCATACTTTTCCTCCGTTTTTACTCTGCTTCTTGTTTGTGTTGTTTGTGCAGAGAGTCTCGATGAACTTGAAGCCATGGCCGTTGAGTACTTTTCGGCTGTGAAGTGCATTGATGATGTGGAACCTCCTACATGGCCTGAATCGCCACTAGGTCCAGATGAGCTCAAGAAAAGACTGTCTGTTGTTCCCATCAAGGATTTACGTAATCTTGTTATCAACTTCCCCATTCCTGATCTTACGGATTTCTACAAAGCTTGTGTGAGCAGTGTGTAATCTACTCAGAAAATTTGCCTTATTTTGGTTTTGTGTGGGAAAAATAGTGTTTCTTTGGTGTTCTCTAGCCCGCGGGGTACCTTGCGCACTTTATCGGTCACGAGGGTCCTGGAAGTGTGCTGTCTGCTCTGCGCGCCCGTGGCTGGTGCAATGGTCTGACTGCTGGTCCAACTCAACCTGCACGTGGCTTTGCTGAGTTCACGGTGGCTGTGGACTTATCGGAAGAGGGATTAAATCATGTTGATGACATTATCTCCCTCATATTCCAGGTAAATAATTTTAAACTGTACTTGTATAGTGATTCAATTACTGAGCCTGCACCAAAATAAAACTAGATATATATAACAAAATTTTTGTTCCAGTACATAAACTTATTGAAAAAGGAAGGTCCAAACAAGGAAAGTTTTGAGGAAATGAAATGTCTCAAAGAAATGAATTTCAGATTTAAGGATAAGGAGCCTCCTATAAGTTACGTCGTCTCACTTGCATCCAATATTACTGTAAATATGCTTTCATCTATTTGTCAGTCTATGCCTATCAGCATGAAAGTTTCAGGGAATGTAGTAATCATACAAGTTCACTTTCTCAGAAATTCACCATGGAAGATGTGCTGAAGGGCTACTATTTACTTGAGGAGTGGAGGCCAGATCTCATTTCTGATGAAGTTTTGAACAAACTCACTCCTGATAACATGAGGTGAATTGACTGTAAATACCAGTAAAAATTTTCAAACATAAGTTTTTTAAATTATTACCTAACATATTTTTTTTCTGTTTCATCGTATCAATGAAAATTAAATAGAGTGGCAGTTCAAGCTCAACATTTCAAAGCTATAGTGGACTCGAAGGAAGAGTGGTATGGTACAGAATACAAACTTGAGTCTATTTCTGAAGAAATACTACAGGTATAGGAAATTTAGATCCCTACATTAGTATAGTAAGCGATGTTTCTTGACTTAGTACCTTTTTTTCCTCTCATTATTCTCCTCAGAAATGGTCCAATGCTGGCCTCTGTCCCGATCTTGCTCTGCCACCAAGAAATGAATTTATTCCCACCGATTTCAATGTTTTGCCAGCCACTGCTGATGTAAGTCTTGTGGTGTAAGTCTGCCTGTTAACTGAGACTGTTCAAAATAACCTTTCATCTTATGTTCAAATTTATTTAGGTTAAACCATTCCCCAGCATCATTCAAGAGACTATGCTGTCAAGAGTGTGGTACAAACAGGATGACAAGTTTTTGCTACCAAAAACTTCCTGTAAAATTGATATAGTGAGGTAAAATGAGTCAACTAAAATTAAGTGCAACTAAATATTCCAAAATGTTATTTTATTTTTCTAATAAAAGGTCTAAACTGATAATTTTTTTTTAGCCCTTTGGCATACTTGGATCCGAATTGCTGCAACAAATCAACAATGTATATGTGTCTACTCGAGGATGCCTTTAATGAGTACTCATATGCAGCCTCTCTGGCAGGTTTGGGATGTAGCCTTATCATCACTACTACTGGTTTACAGGTATTAAAGGTTACAATGATTTTAGTTTGATACCTCACTCATTCTGTATCACATTTAGACTTCATTATTTTTTTATGTTTTAGTTGGGGATAGAAGGATACAGCAATAAGCAGCATGTCCTTCTAGAGAAACTAGTGGAGAAAATGGTTAACTTCCAAGTGGATCCTCTGCGCTTCGATATTCTTAAAGAAAATGTAGTGTAACTGAACATGCCAATATGCAATTTATCTTATCACTGATAAATGCCTTTATTCACAAATTATTTTTAATAATTTTTTCAGTACATGCGATCCTTGCGCAACTTCAAACTGGAACAACCACATTCCCATGCAATGTATTTCTTGTACATGCTGATGTTCTATGCTCAATGGACCAAAGAAGAACTTCTTGCTGCTCTGGAAGGTACAACCTTCATCTCTTGCACCTTTCAACCTCTTTTTCTAGTTTTATAGCATAGGATTTACAGATCTAAGCCTTAAATCTTTGTACATTTCAGGGTTGACTTACAAGGATGTAGAAGATTTTATCCCACAGCTTCTGTCCAATATTCATTTGGAGTTCTTGATCCATGGAAATGTCACACGAGAGGTACTTCATAACATTCTGTTGACTTTGCAGTTAGTGTTTATTACTGGTAGTGTCATCAACAGTTTTATTTCAACTGATATTTTGTTTACTAACTTTAGAGAGCTACAGAATTGTCCAGTATTGTTGAAGACACCATTCAAAAGCGGATTAAGATCCGCCCATTGCTACCGAAACAAATGACTTTGCTAAGGCAGATTCAGCTCCAGGATCAGAGCAATTTTGTGTATAGGATTGATTCCTCTGCACATCCATCTTCTTGTACCGCTGTTTATCTACAGTGTGGTACACTAAGCACCGAAAACAATATGAAATTAGAATTAATTGCTCAAATTTTGAAGGAGCCGTTTTTCAATATTCTGCGTACAAAGGAACAACTGGGCTACATTGTTCGATGCTCAATACATCGATCATATACAGAGCAAGGACTCATGGCTTTAGTGCAATCTAGTCGTGATCCTGACTATGTTGAGAAACGCATTGAAGCATTTTTCGCTCATATGAATGTAAGTGTTTTCATTGACTGGGCCCATTTTTTATTACAACTGCGAAAACTTACTTATTTTGTTGCCTTCCTCAATGCACCAGGAACTCATCCGTGATATGGATGAAGAAGAGTTTGAAAAACATAAGGAGGCTGTTGCTGTGAAGAGACTCGAGAAACCTAAAAAACTCAGCACTCTCACCTCAATATTCTGGAGAGAAATTGTGTCTCAGCTCTATCACTTCGATCGTGACAATGTTGAAGTGGAGTACATGCGAACTCTCTCCAAACAAGATATCATTGATCATTATGAGGTAAGTTCTTTACATAGATTAAAAAGAAGGAAAATAAAAGGACACCAACACATAACATTCTTGTATTATTGGCACTGGACTTTATGAACACTTACGTTTTCCAGGAGTTAATCAAGCATGATTCTGCTAAGCGCCATAAACTGTCAGTGCAAATTGTACCTGCCAAAGACTCAACATTTGAGTTGCGCTCTGAGGATGCAGCAATTATGGATAACGGGAAAGTGGCAGAGGAGTTGTATCCTTGCCCTATCATCAATACACCGGTCAGTTTTTGTTTACTCACTATTTGATTTTGATTTTCAAGAAAATTTCACTTTAGAGTCTTTGAATTGATTATGGTACTAGGCACATTATTTTGACAGTTCCTAAATTTTTGCGTTAAATTTTTGTTGCAGCAAGTTCCAATTGAAGACATACTAGCATTCCACAGATCACAAGCACTGTGCCCCTACCCAAAACCATACATGCTTGTTGGGGCACGATCTAAACTATGAAGGTATACACCAGGACAATAAATTAAAATAAATGTTCAATCATGGACTAAAATGTAAATGTTTGACAAATGTATGTTGTGTGCTGTGTGTGTGTGTGTGTGTGTGTAGTGCACTGCATAGAATTAAATCAGAGGGTAAAGAAATGCAAGAGCCTCATTCTGTACGAAGATATAGTATATTCATATTGCAAAAGACTACTTTCGGTGCAAGAGTTCAGCCTGTTTGAAGTGCGACGGGTGTGGAATGGAAACAATCTCCCTGGAACTTGGTTCCCATTAGACTCTTTGGACAGTGCTGCAGATTGGGAATTTGAATCTTTGGACTATGCAGTATTCATCAGTCTATTGCAAGTCAGTTTTTGTGAAGACTAAAACCTAGCCCGCCTAAACAGGGGAAAGTGTGGACACAAATTTTCTGTACTGTCCTATGATAGCAGTGGCGTGCGTAGAAATTTAGAAAGGGGGGGGTCAGGCCATGCTTTTTGCCTACTTACAGGGGGAAAGTGATGCAATTTGCCTACCTTTAAGGCGGCTGTCTAGTGGCCAAAGGGGGGGGGTCATGACCCCCCTGACCCCCCCCCCTGCGCACGCCACTGTATGATAGAAGGAGTCTTGCCACAAATTTTATTTTGAAATACTGTCAGTCATGAGCACCATTTTATGTGTGCTTTAATACCTACTGATGAGATAATTTTGCTTACATAGCTATTAAATAAATGTGAATTAACATTTTTTAAACCCACCATGCTGAGTACAACACTTATTCTTTTTATATAAAATTTTGTTTGTTGAGTAAAGAATGAGTAAATTGCTCAGTGTCAAGCTGTGAATATAACACTTCTTTTTGTAACTTAGTTAATGAATTTTCACCAGACCAAGATAGACTTGTCTTTTGTGAATAATTGAAGGTATCATCATCATCAGCGCTGCGCTGCAGACCTTACTTGCTTGAATCTCCTCATAAATTAATATAGTATGTGTGAGTGTAAAAACACATCCTCAAAAACAAGTTTTGTTTTGCTTTTTCAAAATCAGGACAATCAAAAAATTAAATAAAAGTTTCTTGCAAAAAAACTTTAGGCAACTGCTTTATATTCTATTTTGTATATCTTTTAATCTTTTGTAACTGAAGCACTTCACCAATTCTCCAATGTTGTATCACAGTTTTGTTTTAAATGACATTGCCATCATCAGCCCTTTAATAAAGACTCTTAAAAATGCTTTTGTTTTTTGAATCAACTCTCCACTTCCAAATAAAAACATGCATCTGTTTATGGCTGAGGTAATGGCCAGAAACTAACTCCAAGAAGGTTGAAACTTCTTGTCATAAGGCATCCTCTTAAATACATCAGACTTACAATGATTCAAGATGAGTTCGTCAAAGAGCTCAACACGAAAAAGTCATTGGCGAGGGGGGAACAGCTTCCCACATTCATTGTACAAAATTTGACCACATTCCACATTCAGGTGGCAAAGACGCCTGTAAGTAGGCAACATGTGTTGCAAAAACGCCTCAAAGTAGGCAACATGTGTGGCAGAACGCCAGAAATCTTGCACATTCACACAATCATTGTACACAAAATTTTTCAGTGGGTCACCCCTCGGTCATTGGCCTCTGACTTGAGCAAGTAGCTCTGTAGCGCTGCAGTCAACCTGAGTCAACCGACGACGACGTGAAGGACGTGTCGCGTCGCGTCGCGTCGCCACGAACAAGCAGACCAAAGCAGACGAGCGAGATGGGTTGCCCACCCACTAGGCGGCAGCTAGCGGCAGCTAGCGGCAGCCTGCCGGGAGACTCATGACAGGCTCTAAGAAAGTGCATTGGGCCCCAGTCTCATGTTGGGACGGACGCGTCGCGGGTCTTCTCTCTGCAAGAGATGCGAGGGGGGAACAGCTGTCCACATTCGTTGTACAAAATTTGACCACATTCCACATTCAGGAGGCAAAAACGCCTGTAAGTAGGCAACATGTGAGGCAAAAACACCAGAAAACTTGCACATTCACACAATCATTGTACGCGAAATTTTACAGTGGGTCACCCCTCGAAGAGATGCGATTCGTTCCAGCCATCTGCAGGCTCATTTCTGAACAGTGCTTTCGCCACTCCGTCCCAACCGCGCGCAGAGGGTGCGCCGCAGGGGGTGCGAGAGAGACTGCGGCGAGCTCACTGTTCAGAGGCAGCCTGCCGCACGGCTTGCTCAACAGGGGGACCGTGCAGGGCCCTTCAGAGGGGATGCTGCCTGACGCTTGCCCATTGCCCATTGCCACTGTTGCTGGTCGTGTACCGCGTCACCCACACGCTTAATGGGCCGGGCCCAGGCGGGGGAGGGGGAGGGGGTGGCGGGGCGCGGTGGGGTCGGCGGGGGGCCGGCGTCGGCACCGCCGCGCCCAGTAGCCCGAGCCGGCGCGGCCGCCCCCGCCAGCCCCCGCCTGCAGGCTGCTGCAGGCCTGCACAGCATGGGGACTGCGGGCGCCGCCAGCTCCGTGGTCGTCCTGGGCGTGCTGTGCGCCGCGCTCGCCTCGGTGGCCGGTGAGTGCTTCAGGCTGGCCTTCAGGCTGGCCTTGAGGCTGGCAGGCGCCTCCGCCCCGACGACGTGGTGACCGTAGTGACGCCCGAGCCGTCCGCGCCCCTTGCTGCGCTTCGCCCGGCTTCGCCCTTTCGTTTCTCTGTGGGACTGCCCTCGTTGGACACAGGCGTGCGCTGGGGTCAGGGGTGTTGCCGACAGTGTTGCCAACAGCGTTTGCCAACAGCGTTGCCAACACACTGTGTCAGGCGCGTTGACTCGCTCGTTCCAGATGTGGAGGCGGCCAAGAAGGCGACGCCGGCTCTCGGTAGAAGCCTAGGCGGCCTAGGCGCGCCGGCCGCCGCGACCGCGCCCGCCAAGATAACGCCCCTCGCGGCCGCCGCGGCCCTCGCCAAGACCGCGGCCCTCGCCGCCCTCGCGGCCTCCACCAAGACCACCGCGGTGGCAGCGCGCGCGGCCTCGACGACGGCCTCCAAAAGAAGCGCCAAGCCGGCCACGGCCACGGCCTCGGCCACGGCCACGCACCGCGCCACCCGCAAGCCCGGCGCGCCCAGCGGCGATGACGCCGGAACCGGAAGCACAGCGGCCGCAGCCGCCGCCACGTCCGCCACGGCCGCAGCCACGACGGCGTCGCCCGGGGCCGGAAGTGGCCGAGAAGGACAGGAAGTGGAAGCAAACTTGACAGGTAGGGGCGGCTGGCCGGCACGAGGCACCCTCCGAGAAGACACAGTGCGCAGTTCGATGGCTCGTTTCGATATCTCGCTTCCGTCAACCCGACCCAGAGGCACGACTGTGGACGATTGTTGAGGGGTCAGCTGCTTCGGCCGCTCTGTGTACACTGTGTACTCTCGCTGTTTCGGAGTTCGAACGTAAAGAGGCGCCCCTAGGGCCCGCGGCCTGCGGGACAGGGCGCGTTTCGCGAAAAGAAAAGTTTTACTTTAGTTTCTTGACGGTACACAGCGAGTCTGAGTGCATTGACCCCTCGACTTGCTTAGAGGAGAGTCCCACAATAAAATCAAATTCTGAGCCCCGACGAAACCTGGCTAGCTTGTCTGGATATTATCCAACGCAGGCTGCGAACTGGCAACACCCTCGTGTTACCAATAAATCTCTGAACAGAGTGTTTTCAGTGCTGAAAAAATGATACTGAAACGGCACTTATAGCAAGAGGTCGCCCCAAAACAAAAAAAAATACAAAAACAAATAAAAACAAAGCGCTTACCTTGTTTGACTCCAGCGGTCGTGGCTCTGTTTGGCGTTGTCGGGTCGCGTCCAAATTAATAAGCAAACAGTCGCACTGTATTCTTTTGTTTTCCTTATCGCGATGGCACGTGTTGAGTTACTGCCGACTTAGGTCTCGGTGGCGCCACCTTCGCGACGCTGCGCCGCCCTGCGCCCCTCCTTCCCATTTCCTTCCCTTTCCTCCCTTTTTCGTCCTTGTTCTCCTCATCCCGCTCCCTCGGCGGCGCAACTTCACCCCGAAGGGTGGCGCCTCGAGTCCGAACAGTCCGAAGCGCTTCAGCCGTTTGGTTGGCTGCTCGGTCCGCCCGGCCCGACCGCCGGCCAGACCGGGCGGCAGCCACTACCTCGCCGCCTTGACGGCCTTGACGGCCTTGACTTACCGCCGCCCTGGCGTGCCTTGGTGCCCGCAGACGTGGCCGTGCTCAAGTCCGCCCTGCCCAACAAGCCCTTCATCAAGCCAGGTGAGTGCACGGCGGGACTCGCGTCTAATATCTCGCGAGATCGATTCCTCGGGACCAGCAGACTGATTCCGAGAGTCTCGTTTCCGTCGCCGTGTCTCCCTCGCACTCACGGGGCGCCCCGTGAAGGTGTGAGGGAGACAGTGACTCTCGGAATCAGTCTACAGAGCGACTAGGGGACCCCCTCAGCGTCTCTGGACGTCCCACCCGGAACAGATCCCGCCGTGGCGGAGCGATCAGTCTGGCCCCGAACTTGCGCAGCCGGTGACTGACGCCGGCTCCCGTCTCGCAGGGATGTACCCGTTCATCGCCACGGTGCAGAAGACGTGCGGGGCGTGCCACACGCGCCAGTTCTGCGCGGGGGCCATCCTGGCGCCGCAGTGGGTCATCTCCATGCCGCAGTGCGCCGAGACCCACCCCGGCGAGGGCCTCCTGGTGAGCGCAGTGCGATTCAGGAGACTCGTTTCGCCGCTCCGTCTCTGTCGGAGGGGTGATCTGAAGCTTGCCGCCCACAGGTGCGGGCGGGAGACTCCTTCATCTGGCCCGGGGACCACACCCCGACGCAGAAGGTCATCGAGGTGGTGTGGCACGAGGCTGCGACGTCAACGTGCGTGGCGGACTGGGCGGACTGGGCGACCCGCACGGCCCGCACCTCCAAAAACTTGTTGCTTCCAGGGACGACTACCCCAAGTACGACGTGATCCTGATGCGCCTGGAGAACAGCTTCCAGTTCGGCGAGAACATCAACGCCATCGCACTTGCGCCACCCACGCACCCCGCAGGTCTGTCTGTCTTTCTGTCTGTCCCTCTCGCCGAGCGCCTCGCTAGAGAGTGACAGTGTGTGCCCTGTGTGACCAGAGGGCGCCCTGTCCATGGTGGGCTGGACCACGCCGGGCCACGCCGAGCAGGTGGAGCTGAACGTGACGCACGGCACGGTGCGCGGCACGGAGGAGTGCCAGAAGATCGCGCCGCAGGAGGCGCTGCCCGCGGACACCCTGTGCGTGCAGCCCGTGGAGCCCCTGCCGGACCGCTGCGGCGTGAGTCAGTCAGTCCGCCAGCCGCAAGGCCAGCCGGCGATACCCCGCGCCTACACCTCAGAGTATTGACGTTGACGTGCCACGCCGCAGTACGACCTCGGCGACCCGGTGTTCGTGGAGGCGGAGCAGCCGCTGCTGGTGGGGCTGCTGAGCCGCTGGTACCTGCCCTGCGTGCCGGACCGGCCCGTAGTGGCTCTCAAGATCAGCTCCATCTACGCCTGGGTGTACGAGAAGGTGAACCCGCCGCCCGTCACGCCCAGGCCCGCGCACTCCACGGCGGAGGCCACCACCACCACGACGGCCGCCACCGCCTCCACGCCGACGACCCCCTCGGCCGCCCCGACGCACTCCAGGTGAGGGGTTGTCTCCGACGCACTTTTCAGAGTCGTGTTGGAGGCGAGGGTAGGCGAGGGGCCAGTGGAGGGCCCCTGCGGTGGCGAGGGTAGGCACCCTGCTCAACGTGCGCGTGGCGGGTTTGCCTACCCCGTCCACCGCAGGGGCTCCAGGCCGCCACTCCGCTTGGCAAGGGAGCGCCTCCATGCCCGAGTTCTTCCACTGCAACCGCCGACATCAGCGCACTCTCTGCCACCAATGCCCATGTCCCCGCAGCTCAACGTCGCCCTTGTCGACGGTGCCGCCGCCGACCACGCCGTTGACCACGCCGCTGACCACGCCGACGACCACGCCGCTGCCGCCGTCCCCGCCGTCCTCCTCCGCGCTGCCGGCCACCACCACGCCGCCCCCCACCACGCCGTCGCCCACCACGCCGACGTCCACCGTGACGGCGTCCAGCCCCACGGGGTCCTCCACCTCGACGCCGCCGCGGCCCGCGTCACACGTCAAGCCCATGACGGTGAGCAGCTCCTCGGCGTCGGGCGCGCTGTCCAACACGTCGTCCACGTCGGACGCGGCGCTGCTGGCCGGCCACATGGAGTCCAGCCTGTCGTACTCGCTGGGCACGGCCAGCGTGGACGCGGCCAAGCCCGCGCTCGCCAACTCGGTGAGTGTGGGCTGGGCCAACTGCCGCGACATCGGCGGCGCCCTGGGCATGTCGTACGCCCTGGCCTACTCCTTCATCGGCGAGGGCGCGGCCACGGCGGCCAGCACCGTCAACGCCACCTGCCTCGAGATGAACGCGGTGCAGTCCCAGGGCTGGAGTATCAGCACCTCGGGCGGCTCGGCGCCCGTCAGCGTCCGGGCCTTCGTCATGGAGCACCTGGCCTCCATCCCGGGCCTGCCGCGCCAGCCCACGCTCAAGTACCTGTAGAGCCGGCGGAGCCCCGGCGTGTAGACAAGAATAAAGCAACAAAAAAACAGCAACAACACTGTTAGCCTGACGAGTCAACCCACCATGCAATTTGGTCGAGGAGAGGCAGAGAATAGATCACTTGGTTGCTGTATTATCTTTATTATAATACGTTGAGAATATCAATACATATAGTTTCCTCTTGGATTTTTCACATTCTTGACGCAATCCACATTAACAAAAAAGTACTCCACATGATTACAATAATGTATTTTTGTTGATGAAGGAGTGGCGAAGAGAGCAATTTTAATCGTAAAATATTTGATTAAAAAAATATGAAGGGGACACAATTAAGTGGGGAGTTCTAATGGTACATAGAAGGACAAAATTTAACTTGACATATAACTCATCACAGAAAGCGGGATAAATAAATAAATAAATAAATGAATGAATAAATAAATAGTAAATTTTGTACCACACAAAGGAGAGTTGAGATTTTTATCATTAATATTCTACCCACTTTTAGGCAAGAAGTAGGACAGTGGGTGTCAGAACTCTGTCGAAATTGAAATAAAGAAGACAACCGAAATAGTGATAACCCCTCCAGGACTTAAGTAACTTTTTTTTTATCAACAAGACCTTTCTATAGTTCCCTCTTTTTAACTTCCTTTCGGCGTTCCCGATTCCTAGAGCCCGCGACTAACCAAGCGAAGCTAATGCCGTTCGGCAACTGAAGTAAACAACGTTCGGCAACTGAATTAAACGGAAACCCGATCCGCTCTCTTTTTCTCTTTGGCGACGAAATGAAGTGAGCCTCGCGAAGGAGATTGTCTCTTTTGATTTGTACGCTTTCTCACCAGAACACCACACTCGCACACACGTTATTTAAAACTACGATAAAGTCTTGGTTTTCGCTTAAGGAACTGCCACAAGTTCCGAATGTTCCGCGGGCCATTGGCAAAGCGTTGCTGCCGAGGCGTCGCACGGGAGAAAGGAGCGGGTTTGTGCGGGAGGGTGGAGGGGAGGGGGGAAAAGGTGGGGGGGGGAGAGGCGCGCGAACGACAACGAGATGATTCCCCTTGTCTAAGCGTCGCACATCTAACAACCCCTTTTTTTCCTGTTGGCGCTAGCGGCGCCACGGTCGTGCGGCTTTTGTCTGATTTAAATATTCCGCTTTGTCCGAGTAAATAACTCGAAAGCATCGGGGTCCTTCCGAGTCCTTCCCGGAGGTTGAGCAGTGGGGCGAGATTGGGGAGGTGGCACGGCGTGGCACGGCGTGGCACGGCAGCGAGAAGTTGAAGAGGGGGAAGGGGAATGCCATTCAGACGGCCATTCATTTGAACAGAATGACTCGCGAACAAAGGACAGTTTTTCTTTTTTCGTCTCCTCGGGAGCGTCGGGACTTGGAGATGATGGCGTGCCGGGCTTATTCAAGAGGACCGAGGTCCGGTCCGGAGGTGTGGGAGGGGACGCCGAGGCCGCCGAGGCACTAGCTAGACAACTATTTGGGCTAAGAGTGCGCCCGTCATTCCATCCCCTTGCCCTGTCACTGTGTTTCTATGTCGCTGCGTCGTCGCGTGGACAGCGCTCCGTCCCGGCAGAGGGGCGCGCAAAGCGTCAATTCGATTCATAGCTACGCGTCGACTCTGTGTTCTGAGCCGTTTTTCTCTAACAACCGCGAATCTTAACCAACGCACTGGGATCCACAGGTATCCACAGCGAACGGAAAATATCTACAATACTCAGCCTTGGCCTCTTGACGGTCGTCCATCCTACGGTACTCTGCCCAGCTGAGCGGGGGCGACGAGGGAGGCCCCGGCAACCCCTCGCATTCAGGAGAGCTTTCCTAAGTACGCAGCGCGATGAAAGATACCTTGCAGGAGGTTCATTTTGCACTCAGTCGAAAGGGAGGATCTAACACTTAGCTCAAATTTCTTTTTGATTTTCTTTTCGTACACGTAGTCTCTGAGAGAGAATTACAATACTTACAATTGTTGATTGTTTCAAGCTTACTGTGTATAAAGTTGAGGTCGCTGAGCTTGGCACGGTGGCGACCACCAACGACTAAGGCAAACGGCACGATTCTACTCGAAAATGCTTGCAGTGAAGGGACGATTTTCGATTTGCACAGACATTTCCCCGAGTTTTTCATTTTTACTCACTAACTGCGAACAAGGACACCGACAAGCGACAACCCTGTTTCAGTGGTGATTAATTACTTCTAACAAAAAACAAATGAAAACGAAAAAACGTTACAGCACCTAAGAACAATATCAGTGTTATTCATACAGCCAGATTATTTTTATCACTCACAATTTAGATAATAAAGCAAAAAGAAAAGAGATTTTTTTGTTTTGTTTTTTTACGGATACAATCCCTTTTTTTAAGGTAAAATTTTCACAAAGTCTCTTTCAATTAAAACCTTTTTTAAACTCCCAACACACAACGGAAAATTTTAAACATTTATCAAAGCTACACAAACACAAATAACAAACAAATTTAAACCCACGTCTACCAATCAAAGCAGTTTAACCGCGCATGGGTAACTTTAGCGCTTCATTTCTCATTTCCGAAAGGTGCCCTTCTTCTCTGAGTTGGTGCGAACGAAGAAGGGGGGACATACCAACCCGTGCACCCCAAAAAAATGGTTTCTTGATTTTTGATTTACTTGGTTTTTGTAAGCAAAGTAATCTCGACACAAGAAAAATTTTCTTTATTCAAGAAAAAAAAAATGGAATAAGAATTTTTTTTTGCAAAAACCAAGAAAAGTTGAATTTTTTTTGATCCAAGAAGTCATTTTTTTGGGTGTGGGGCGCAGTGAAACGGGGGCTCACTCAGAGCCTCACACTGGCCGCGCGGCGGAAAATGGCTCGAGGCTCGGCATTGGCTGGGGTCGGCAGCCAATGGGAGGCCGCTCACGAGCTGATGGTGCTGATGCCGCCGTCGTAGCGCATCTCGGCCAGCTCCTGGCTGAGCGCGGCGGCGGCCGGCGAGCTGGCCGCCGGCAGGGCCGCGTCGCCGTCACGCAGGAAGGACTCGTCCCACCGGGAGCAGGACGAGGACCGCGGCGGCGGACGCACGTGCACGCGCGGCTCCCCGGACATAGCTGCGCCGACAAGGGTTTCGTTTCGACGGAAAATTGAAATAAAAAGAGAAGAGGGAGACGCTGCCTCACCGTTGCTGCGCTCCAGCGCGGCGTTGGCGGCCCAGATGAGGGCCTGCTCCTCGCCGTGCGCGTTGAAGGCCGTGCCGTAGGCCGAGCCGTACCCGCTGCCCTTGCCCCAGCACCCCGCGTCGTCGTCCTCCAGCAGCAGCTCGTCCTCGTCGTCGAGGTCCTCGCCGTCCGCGCCGCCGCACCAGTCGCCGCCCTCCTTGTGGGACTCGCGCGGCACCACCAGCCACGCGCACACCATCAGGAACCAGTTCTGCAACACGCCGGCACGCGGACGTTAGCGCCGGTCGAGTCCAGGGTAGGCCAGCCCGCCGAGCAGCCGCGTCGCCGGGCCGGCCTAGGCGGCCTCCAGCGCGCTGGAGCAGCGCCGTCCCGTCACTCACCAGGAAGCCGTTGGTGACGAGGAAGAGCAGCGGGTACGTGAGGAACGTGGAGTTGTCCATGGCGACGACGCCCAGGAACCAGTCGGCCGAGTACAGGGGCAGCATGGCGGCGGCGGCGCGCAGCGAGGTCCTCAGCTCGGCCGGCGTGGCGGCGTCTCGCTCGCGCACCGCCTCGCCGTCGTGGCCGCCGGCCGCCGCCTCCGTGTCCACCGCCAGGTCCTTGTCCACGTCCTCGGCCACCGGCCTGGCGCGCAGGCCGCGCAGCGTCAGCGCCGAGTTCACCTGCAGCAGCGCCAGCAGCGAGCCAGTCAGCAACAACAACAAGCGGCCGCGCATAATCACCTCCCGTTCTTGTTGTTTTTCATTTATTCCTCCACTTTAGAAATCCAACGTGAAGCTCGCTGCTCGCGATCCGCCCCACAAAGGGGCGCGGTGGGAGATCACGGTCAAGAGAGAGAGAGAGAGAGGGAAAAAAGCGCTTTTTTCTTTTCTCTCTCTTGTTTTTCTTGTTTCCTTGTCGTCCGCACCCCCGGCCGGCCCGGCCAGGGCCGCCGTACAGAATTGCTTTCCAAGATCTTCCAGCGACTTTTTCGTGGCCCTTGTTTCTTGCAGTCCGGTGTCTGTGCCCGTCGTGGCCTGTGTGGCCCAGGCCTGTGTCCGGCATGAAAGGGTGGAACGCCAAGGCGCGGGCTGCACACCTTGCCGCCCCGCCCCGCCCCGCCCCGCCCCACTCTCAAGCGGCACTCAGCGCGGCCTGCGGAGGGGGCGGGGCGGGGCGCGGACGCCTATAAGCCGCCTGCCATTAAGAAGGCTGCGCCGTGCAGCACCGCCCCCGCATTCGAAAACAAGGGTCGGGCCAGAAGCCCCTCAAAAAGTGGCTTATTAAAAAGGAGGCGCCCCGCTCCGCCCCCCCCCCCCCCGCCCCGCCCCGCCCCGCCCCGCCGCGCCCCGCCCCGCCGCGCCCCGCCCCGCCCCACGCTGTTTGCGCCGCATTCTTTATTTCGAGGCGGCAACGTGAGGAAGGCGAAGGCGAGCGGATATCAGAGTATCAGAGCGAGGCCTCGGCGCGCTGCAGCACGGGCCGTGGCGGCCCAAATGGCCCCCCGAAACGGACGCACCGACTCCACCCGAAATGGCATCAGCGAACTGCGGAAATTTGCTCACCGTCTCCCGAAATCGGCGCCGAAATTAAATCTCTCCGTGACACCCGGAACTTAAACGAAATCAACTTGACGACGCGTTCGTGTAGTCGTTTTATTTTCCCCTCCCCTCCTCTCTCTCTCTCTCTCTCTCTCTCTCTCTCTCTCTCTCTCTCTCTCTCTCTCTCTCTCTCTGCTCGTGCCCTTGCGCCCTTCCACGCGCTGCGTCGCGCGTGTCGCCCACACTGTCGGCGAGATACAGCCGGGCGGCTCCCGCGCAGTGGTCCCGTCTCTCTCGCACTCACGCGGGGCGGCGGGGACGGCGTCCGAGAGCGACGGAGACAGAGCGACGAGACGCCCGGTGCTGCCCCCTCGCGGCGCCTCTCGGAATGCCGTTAAGTTGGTTGGAAGGGCGCCACGGCCACGCCACGCCACGGCGCCATGGCGGGGCCGCACAGTGGGCCAGAAGACCGGTGGAGGCGGACAAAACTCGAGGCGCGTTTTGAGCTCCAGAGTCGCTAAATGGGACTCGAACCGAACGTGTGACCCCACCAATGGATTGCTCTCCGAACGAGGAATCCATTGGTGGGGTCACACGTTCGGTTTGAGTCCTGTTTAGCGACTCTGCAGCTCAAAACGCGTCAAGAGTTTTGGCAGCCTCCACCGGTCTTCTGGCCCACTGTGGGCCGCCGACGCAGCGGGGTGGACGACGACGGCGGACTCGTGCGGCGGGCCTCGTCCCTCTGTCTCTCCCGCGGCACTCATGGGAAGCGTCGTAGGGGTCGCTCTGTCTCTCTCGAGTGCGAGAGAGACAGAGCGATGTAACGATCCTCGCCGGGGACGACAAGCAGTGCGATATTGCAGACGCGCGCCACGCGCAGCGCGCCTTCATGTCCTTATTGGCTGTGCAGCGTTACTTGATCAGGCGGTGGGGGAGGGGGAGAGAAAGAGAGGGACAGAGAAGGACAGAGAGAGAGAGAGAGAGAGAGAGAGAGAGAGAGAGAGAGAGAGAGAAAAGGAAGAGGAGGGGGCACCCTGTGCGTAAACGGCGGCGGCGCGCGGGAAAGGAGAACGAGGAGGCTCTTGTGTGTGTCTTTTTATTCGGCCGAGTTGGGCGCGCGGCGAGCGGTGAGGGGCAAGGAAGTATGACCGTGGCCATAAGCAAGAGTGAGAGAGAGGGAGGGGGTGGGGGAAGGAGAGCGGCACCCCCACTTGATTTACCGCCGCCCTGAGTCAGGCTGATGGGGGCAGCGTATCTAGAGCCCCCAGCCAGGGAGTGAGAGAGAGAGGGAGAGAGCGGCCCTCGGGTGGCTGGGCTCCCCTAAGCCCGGGCCGGGCCGGGCCGGAACGGGCCGCTGGCATGGAGATGGTCAGCAAGCTAGCGAAGCCGAGCGAAGCTAGAGATGCAGCAGGATCCTCGCTCCGCCCGACCCCGCTCCGCCAGGTCACCCCCCCCCCCCCCCCCCCCCCCGCGCCGTCGTGAGCACCTCGTTGCGCGCATTAGTGCGTCCGGGAAAGCTAATTGGCCGACGGGCAGCGAGCCGAGCGATTCAGAAAGACGAGCCGCTCTGTCTCTGTCGCACTCGCGGCACTCGCGGTGACGACGCCGTGCAGGTGCGAGAGAGACGGAGCGAGAGCGGCATTTCACAACGCATCCATCTTGCTGTTGTCGAAACGCCGCGCGGCGGGGGACGACGACGTGTAGGCGCGTGGCGGGGAGGGGGGCAGGGGTTGAATTGGGGCCAGCTCGTTCTAATCAGGGCCTGATTGTCGGCGCGTGGTGGGCGCGGCACGGCGCGGCACGGCACGGCACTGCCCATTGGCGACACAAGCGGATTCGTTAGTCGAAGCGATGCCACAGCGGCGAGCAAGGGGTTCAGTCGAGTTCCTTCTTTCAGCGAGGTACACGCCGCTGGACCCCACCCCGCCCCGCCCCGCCCCGCCCCGCCCCGCCCGCCACCCGCCACCGCGCCACCGTGGCGCAGCACAGACCTCGGTGATTTGTTTGCGTAGCGAGACCTCTTGTCGCGGCACCCCGTCCCTTCCAAACTCGTTCGGCCCAATGCCCCCTCCCCCCCCTGCCGTGACAGCTGCGGGCTTGGCCGTGCCGCCGTGCCACCGCCACTGCATTTCATACCATCGGGCCAGAACGCCCCGCCCGGCGCCGCCATGTGCACGTTTGCCAAACAGAATGCAACGTGACTAGTGGCCTGTGGCGGCGGCATGGCGGCGGCATGGCGGCAACCGCTTGCGGGGGGTAACTCAGTGCCGGAGTGGGGCGCAGGGCAGGGGCGCGCCTCCAGAAGGGCGTGCCGTCGCTCTGTCTCCCTCGCACCCCCAAGGGCCGCCCCGCGAGTGCGAGAGACACGGACGTTCGGAGGCAGCGCGCAGCGGTCTGGGAGTGCAGACTCCAGAGCCGAGGCGGTGGCCTCCACTCCTCCAGGCGCTCCAGGCGCTCCAGGCGCCAGCAGCTGCGGCATCGGGGACATCGGGGACAGCAAGGACGACTGCTGTGTGGAAAAACTGCTCAACTGATCGGGGCCTCGCAGCCTCGCAGCCCCGAGTTGGAAGCCTCGCCAATATGCCGCCGCCGCCCTGTGCCGCCCCGCCCCGCCCTAGTGCCTGAGGCACCGAGGCCGAGGCGCAAACTGCCGCCCGATTCCGAAAGACCGTTAAGTCGCTCCGTCTCTCTCGCACTCACGCGGCGCCGCGTGGGGGTGCGAGAGAGACGGACACTTGCCTTCGACACTCGGCGTGCCGATGCCACGCCTGCCTGCCTGCCTGCGCCACGCCGACCTTGGCGAGCTTGGCGGCGAGGAGGCTTTGGGCTTTGCCCGCGCTGCACAGTGGGCCAGAAGGCCAGTGGAGGCGGACAAAACTCTAAACGCGTTTTGAGCTCCAGAGTCACTTGAATGGGACTAGAACCGAACGTGCGACCCCACCAACGGATTGCTCTACGAACGAGGAATCCATTGATGGGGTCACACGCTCGGTTCGAGTCCTGTTTAGCGACTCTGGAGCCCAAAACGCGTCTAGAGTTTTGGCCGCCTCCACCGGTCTTCTGGCCCACTGTCTGGCGCCCCGTTGCGACATCATTTTGCCAGGCCGCCGCCGCGTTTGAATCCGACGCTTTTACCGCCGTTTTTACAGCGCGATCTCGATATGAATATCGATTATTGACAGCAGCGGGGCGGCTCGGCTCGGCCGCGGCGGGCATTACGTCATCATCGGGATTCACCGGCACTATATCTTGCCGTGGAGGAGCGTCGCGCCAGCGTCTCCATATATGGGGCGGCGACGCGTCGACGCGGCCACGGGGATGAAGGCGGCCGAGCCGAGCCGGCCTCGGGTCTGCTTTATGGTGGCGATAAAGCTGCTACACTGCAAGCCCACTTTTTCATTTTTCCCGCGCGACGAAGCGACGAAGGGACGGAGGGGACCGCACGGGCGTGGGCAGGGCCGGGCCGGGCCGGCGGAGCGGAGGCAGCCCGTGTGAGGTTAAGACCCACCGGAAATTGCCCCGGGGGAGGCCCGTGCCCCAAACCACTGCGGGGGGGGGGGGGACGAGCGGCGGACAAGAGAGGTAATTGGGGGCACCCCGCGATGGAGTCGAAACTTTTAAGTACTGTCAAGCCTTTTCCCACCGCGCAGCGCTTTCTCTCCGGAGCCACAGCGCCGCTCTGCCGCTCCGCCGCCCCGAAGTATGAAAAATAAATCACTCGCTATTGGAAAGACTTTGTTTTGGCTGCTTTTCCTCCTTCCCTTTTTTTTACGGTGGCCCGGAAGCGCGAGGGAAGTACACTGTGCAGCCGCCGCCACATGCACGGGTAAAATGGGTTCATTGTGCAGCAACCCTCAGTCTCTCTCTCTCTCTCTCTCTCTCTCTCTCTCTCTCTCTCTCTCTCTCTCTCTCTCTCTCTCTCTCTTTCTTCCTCCTCCGGCGGCGTACGTGCTGGACGCCCCCGAGACGGGCCAACTCGTCTGGAGACGGACTGATGGATAGCACTGGGCCGAATGTAAACACACACTCACTCACTCACACTCACACAAGAGCACTCCGCTGCGTCTGCCAATAGACTTTGACGACCGTGCGGACGGCCCGGCCCGGCCGGCCAGGCGGTCCCACGAACTCGCGGATTCACACGCTGTGAAAAATCGATTTCGCGCGCGGGTGGGAATCACTGAGTCCGTTTGGTCCTCGCGGCCAGGCCGGGCCCGGCGGGCAGCGGTCCGCAGAATGACCAGTGTCGCTGTGTCCCCTCTCGCACTCACAGGGCGCACCGCCCCGGCCGGCTGCGAGAGAGAGGTCAACTCACCGTGATCATGAGGGTGACGGGCGCCACGAAGGTGAGCAGCATGCCCCGCTGCACGGCCATCCAGCAGTAGCGGTGCGTCTCGTAGGACCGGGGCTGCGCCGCGTACATCGCCTGTGAACAGTAGTAGCGCAGTCAGTACAGGCACAGTCAGCGGCGCTCGAAACGCGCGTTCGAGTCCCGCATTTCGCTCCGCATATTTTCATCGCGTTTCCTCCCCCCTCTGGACGCCGCCGCTGTTCGGCTAGGGATTAACCACCGACCGAAACAACCCTCTCGCTCCATCTCCACTCCACTCCAAGAATGTTTTGTCCGCCTCCACCGGCCTTCTGGCCCACTGTGCATGGCCCCAGCCTGTACAGTGTACAGTCGCGTGAGCTCGTGCGGCTTGAGCCGCTATACGCCGCTACCCGCCCAAGCGGGGCCACCAGGAACACCCAGCAGCAGGGTAGGCAGGCCCAGATCCTCCGGGGGCGTTCCCCCAGCCCGGAGGCAACCCGGAGGCAGCCCGGAGGCAGCCCGTAGGCTCCAGGGAGCATCCCCTCCGCCCGTAAGCTCTTGCGAGCGACCATGGGGCCAGACAGACAGGGCCAGACACTCCAGTACATCTCGAGCAGGCTGGAGCAGGCTGAAGCAGGCAGGCTGGGGCAGCCTCACGACTCAGACTCGAGTCGAGACGAAATCAACCGCGGAATCCCACTCGGCAGACTCATTGTGCGTGGCTTCAAGTGTTGGGCACCCGAGAGAGAGAGAGAGAGAGAGAGAGAGAGAGAGAGAGAGAGAGAGAGAGAGAGAGAGAGAGAGAGAGAGAGAGAGAGGGAGGGAGAGAGAGAGAGCTGATCGTCTGGGACGGGCTCGGCTGCGACCTGCACCCCACCGCACCCCACCGCACCCCACCGCACCCCACCGCACCCCACCGCACCCCACCGCCCCGCGTCGCCCCGCGGCGCCCCACCGCCGGCAGGTTACGGCGTTACGGTGGGGTCAGTCGGACACGGCGAGCTCGGGCGAGGACCCGTCCCGACACCGTGTCATCGAGTACACTGACAGTCGGGCGCATAAGTTTAAATGCTTTTTTTTTTCGTTTTTTTTTTCGTGGGTGGGGGAAGGAGGAGCTGAAATCATACCAACATTACCGAAAGGTGGACGCTTCTTTGTAGGCGCTCTTTTGGAGAGCGTCGCCACGGCGTACTGCGTGCGGTGCGCGGTGCGGTGGGTCTATCGGCCAGCCTCCATATTCCCAGAACGGCGTCCCCCTTTTTTGACGTCCATCACTGCGTGACCCTTGATTCGTATGCGAGGTGGCGCGGCGTGGCGCGGCGTGGCGCGGACTATTAGGCGGCGCCGCACGTACCACCCCACCCCCACCCCCACCCCCGCGCTCCTCCAAGAAAGAAGGGCTGAAGGAGGAGACCTCGGCTATAGATCCAAGGGCGAAGAGCAGCCCCCCACCCCTTCCGCGGTACGTAAAGTAATCGCGAATATATTGACAGCCCCCTCCCCCTTTCCACTCCAGCAACAGTGCAGGCGGCACGATTGGGCGTGAGGGCGCGTAAGTCATTTACAACCCGCTTTCATCTCTCTGCAGGCCGATTTCGCGCCGTCTCTCTCGCACCTCCCGAGGAGCGCGTCCCGGCAGCGAGAGAGACGACAGACTGCCTTCTTGTCCGAGGAACGGAAAGGCACACTGCGAAAAGCAGTCAAATGGGGCGGTGAGGGCCAGTGTGACGTCGGGAGCACGTACGTACGCACAGCGCCGCGCGGTGCGCCGTAGTACCGCGAGTCGCTGAATAAAATACATAAACACGCAGCGCCGGTTCAGTCTTTTGCTCCCGGCTTAGCGGATCGAACGGCCAGGCAGCAACAACAGCCAGAGCCGACGTGACCGGGCCCGAGGGTACACTCAGAGCAGAGCGATAATACGAAAGTTGCCCCGGCGAAGATCAGGCAAGTGTGCTAAATTAACGAAGTTCCGGCCACGCCGCGCCGCACCAGCTTTCGGATTGGACGAGGAATGGCTGCTGCTGCCGCACCGTCGTTGCGTGTTTTGATGGAGGCGATTTGGGAACGGACCCACACCGTTGCACAACGCAGCCACAGGTCGTTGTTGATTCGGCGTGCCTTTTGTTTTGGTTTCAGACCCCGCCGGCGAGGGGCACGCTAGAGGGCCGGGAGAGAGACGGCGCTCGCTCCACTGGGAAAGTCAGCCGAGTGATTACTCATGTCCGAAGATGGTTCTGATGTCAGGAACCGATCGGACTTATTGGCGGCGCGCGACCCGACTGTACACAAATTCGTCGGAGTTGACATCAGTGTTGACACCTGACGTCAGGGGCCTTCAGGGGCCTGCTGCGGCCTGCAGGGACCCGTCAGACCTCCGCACGAAGAGCTAGCCTTGCGCAACCGGCGCACACGTGACAATGCGGTGCAACAGGCGAGAAGCAAACCGCCATTCCTGACGATTCCCCGTCCACTTCGGAGAAATTGAGACTCAGCAGGAGCCGAGCAGCCAACCACGACCACCACCAGCAGAGACGTGCTGTACAGTACAGTGCGCGGACGGCCTGGCCCTTGGGACGCGAAAAATAAAGATGCCTGTCTGTGTTGGGGAAAGCTGCGGCCTGGTTATGAAATGAACGCACGAGAGCTCACAAAAATGATCGGTCGAGTTCAAGTTCGACTTAGCGTCCCGCGACTTGCAGCCATCGGTTGTTGGCTTCAGATTCGCGACTCGGATGGGTTGGGGTGGCTCCGTCCGAATATCAAAGAGCCTGGATCTAAACTCCTCCATTCTCTTCGATTGGCACCGAAAAGGAGAACTTACGGGATTCCAAGTCAGTAGTATGGCACACCCATACTCAGTAGTATGGCACACCCATACTCAGTAGTATGGCACACCCATACTCAGTAGTATGGCACACCCATACTCAGTAGTATGGCACACCCATACTCAGTAGTATGGCACACCCATACTCAGTAGTATGGCACACCCATACTCAGTAGTATGGCACACCCATACTCAGTAGTATGGCACACCCATACTCAGTAGTATGGCACACCCATACTCAGTAGTATGGCACACCCATACTCAGTAGTATGGCACACCCATACTCAGTAGTATGGCACACCCATACTCAGTAGTATGGCACACCCATACTCAGTAGTATGGCACACCCATACTACTCAAGTCAAAATAACTAAAACTGGCGGTTGTCATCTATTCTACTCAACTCTTTGGACGGAGCTCCCCGGTCGTGCTTCTGGTGGGGCGACGTGCCCAGCTGCAGACACACGCCGAGCAATCGGCTAAGCGCATCGCCACCAGAATAATTGTGTGCGTCCACGTGTTGGCGTGTCTACGTGTTCACGTGAGCCGCCACCACGTGCGCGGAGCATTGCGGAGCATTCCCTGACCCCCACTCCGCTTTTTGGGGGTACGCAGCGGGGCCTTTAACGCAAAGATGCTTCGAAATGTTGCCTCAAACAACCCATTTGTTGTTTTCACTCACGTACACAGACCATGAAAGTGCGTGAACACTTTTTAATATCGAGAACATCACAAATACCTCCGAGTGAAAAAATATTCTAAACAAATATTGAGGAAAATATTTGAATTTGTTAATACATGTAAATACCCAATAAATGCCTTAACAATATGTGTTCAAAAAGTGATTGTAACCATCAAAGCAGTGGTGACACGAATGTTAATATTTTTATAATTCTCCCGTATAAACAACGCCATCAAAACTGGCAAAGTTAAAGTACTCTCGATCGACTTTTTTCAGCGATGTTTTCCCACTCCTTACGCACTATCAAACTCACTGTCGGGACGGTGGACCCGGTCCGATCCCACGCAAGTCAATGCCACGACAAAGGCACTGTTTTTCTTCAATGATAGGGGAGCCGACGCCGCATCCTTCGGAAAGCAACAACAGCGGGATGTCTCGCCGCGGCTGCTGGTTCGGTGGGTACCGTTCGGTTAGGTTAGGTCGAGTTCAAGTTCAACTTCGGGTCCCGCGACTCGCAAGCTGCTTGCAGCTCTCGGCTGTTGGCCTCAGATCCGCCACTCGGATGGACAGCTCCAAAGAAGTCTTGATTGAAACTTGTCCATATTTTCGTCGATTGGCTCAGATGGTTAGGTTAGGTCTATGGCGCGAGTCGCGGTAAGCCGGCAAGCGTCGGCGAATCAGGCGGGAGGGTCGGCCGCCATTATGCCACGGCAACGAGACCTCTACGAGGCTACGAGACCCATGCAGATGACCATTCGGCCGAGCGAATAAAAGACGGGCGCCCAGGCTGCATGTTGCACTACGTCCCGTGGAGTCGCCCTGCACTATGGCCCCCCTCAGCAGCGAAGCGCCCATGGCAGCGCCCGCCGTCGTGGTCGACGCCCTGGAGCCCGCCAAACAGAACAAGCGATACTTCCAAACGGATATAGTGTGGAAAAATGTGACAGTTTACGCCATAGGCCATTTATTAGCAGTGTACGGCGCATACCTGGTGTTGACTTTCCAAGTCAAAATAATAACCTGTATATATAGTAAGTAAATCCTACAGTGACTGAAAGTTGAGTGCGCTTTGGCTACCTCATTTGACTACGCTCCTAGGAAGTGTGTTTGCAAAGAAAGTACTTTCAATACTTTCGCGTACCCTACATTAATGAAGTTTTTTTTCGCTTGCAGCATTTCTATTACTCTTTTTCGCATCGCAAGGCATCCTGGCGGGGGCACATCGTTACTATTCCCACAAAACTTATAAGGCGAAATTCCCGCTTAGACTGTACCTAGTAGTAGCTAATACTCTGGCATTCCAGGTAAATATTCCATTTTATTAGATTTTCTTTACCGCTTTGTTATTCTTTTTTTTTTTTCAAATTTATGCGTGCTTATTTGTTTGCAAACTGAGGTTTTTGGTCTGTCGGCAGAACTCGATCTGGGAGTGGGCGCGCGACCACCGGCAGCACCACAAGTACTCGGACACGGACGCAGACCCGCACAACGCCAACCGGGGCTTCTTCTTCTCGCACGCGGGCTGGCTCATGATGCGGAAGCACCCGGCCGTCATCGAGAAGGGCAAGAACATCGACACGTCAGACCTGGAGGCCGACGCTCTCGTCATGTTCCAGAAGAAGTGAGTGCGTCAAAGTCAAGTCGGGCGTGTCACAGTGAATTCGAAAGTGAGAAAGCGGCCAATGAGAGGGACCCGTTTCAAGATCAAGATGTTTTCGTTAGGTTGTGATGACTCCAAAGTGCGACCTGGTGTTGAGTCTGAAGGGTCGAACGACTGGGTGTTTGTTTTCATTTCTTTCAAGTATTGGTGCACAGTGACGTAGACAGTAAGCTCTTTTTAAATTTAGGTGCAAATATCAGATTCTTTGAAAATTGCTTTTGATTTTTCCAGGAGCTAAGTAGCGTCGCCCCTAGAAATGCCTTAGCTGTTGATAATTTTAATATTTCTTAATCCCACATCGCGTGTCAACGCCACCCCAGTATTTCACTTGTGAAACTTTCTTTTTTGCAGCCACTACATCCGGTGTTACATAGCTGCCACCTTAATCTCATCCTTCGCGATACCGATGTACTTCTGGAACGAGTCGGTGTGGATGTGCTTCCTGATCCCGTACGCGCTGCGGACCGTCTACTTCTACAACGCCACCTGGCTGGTCAACAGTGCCGCGCACGCCTTCGGATACAAGCCGTACGACAAGTAAGGAAACAAACCAGTCGTCGATGAAAATAAGGACCATCCACGCGCGCTGTTATCAGTCGTTTCACCGCACTCAAAGGTTAAATTTGACACTGGAAATGAGGCTGGAGACGCTAGGGTGAAGCCTGAAGTCTACGCCAGGTTGGGAATGGGCGTTGCTTTTCTCAAGAGTTGACTAAACTAGACGTCAAACCGACTTTGTGTGATTGTTTTCAACCTCACTCGTGTACATTTTGTCAGAATGTCAAAAAAATGTCTGAAATCCTGATCAAAATTCGCCCACCTCTGAAAGCTGAAATTCTGGGAACGTACTCTGATACTGACGGTTTGAGTTCTACAGACTGTCAGGAGATGTTTTCAGCTTTCAGAAGTGCACGAATTTTGATCAGGTTTTCAGACAGGTTTCTGACATTCTGACAAGATTGACACGAGTGCTGCGCACTGACAGTTGAAACAGTCACAGTGACTTTGCTCTTCAACTTTGCTTTCCAAATCAAACGGAGAATTTATGAAAGTAGGGATTCGAGTCGCCAACGACACACCTGAAGGAAGTGCGTGTTCTCGTCCTCAGCCGCGGCAGCTAGCGAATTTTATTTTATCGAAGGACTTCCCTCGGCTGCCGTTCCAAGAACACACTTCGGCTCGGTTGCGCAACGGCACCTGCATTGACGCACAACCGCGCGTTTAGCAAGTTAAGAGTGGCCACTGCAGACACGCCGAGGCACACCGAGGCACGCAGTGCAGGCCCGGTCATCAAACTCGCGGTTTCTGACCTTCCCTCTCCTTCCTTTCCCGTCCGCAGGAACATCAAGCCGCGCGAGAACAAGCTGGTGTCGCGGCTGACGCTGGGCGAGGGCTGGCACAACTACCACCACACGTTCCCCTGGGACTACCGCGCGGCCGAGTACGGCCCGGGCAACAGCATGACCACCGCCTTCATCGACATCTGCGCCAAGATCGGCTGGGCCTACGACCTGCGCTCCGCCAGCGACACCGTTATCAAGGCCAGGGCCATCCGGACCGGCGACGGACACCACCCCATCGCACAGCAGCAGAACCTGCAGAACCACCACCCGCACTGAACCCCATCACCCCACCCCGCCTCATTTATACTCAACCCCAAAAAAAGGAAAAAAAGCGCAAAAAAACAATAAATAAACATGTGTTAACCAATGCAGAGTACGCAAATGAGGTATTTGACGCGCCGGTCGCGTGCGCAGCGTGTTAGGGAGTCGCCAGTGCCGGCTAATGGGGCCTGGCCTGTGACCCGGGGACGCGCATAGAGGTGGTCGAGGCATGGTCGAGGAACCCAACGGCTCCAAGGTCACCGACGTCGCCGTCGTCGGGCCGCCCAGAACGGCGGCCGCTTAGCGGTGAACGGGCAAAGTTCGTGATTCATTCGGTGGAAAAGTTGGCAATATTGCGATTGGCTCTCCTCTCTGCGATTGGTGCGACTGGGTGCCCCGGCCGGCTACGCGGCTACGCGGCACCGCTCCGTCGTGGATCACAGGCACGCCGGGGGAAGACAACGCTTCGGCGAGCACAGATGCCTTCGCCCGCTTGATATGAGGAGACACCGTGCCGGAGCCGAGAACGGAGCCGAGGGGAACGAATCAACATGTGGACTGGAAAGCTAGGCGGACCTGCATGCCGCTTCGCATCGCAGCGTCTGGCGGGAATTCAGTTTCCACAAAAAGGCACAAAAACTACCCCTATAAAGAAAACTACAACATAAATAAAAACCAGCACACAAGCACACAAAATAAAACTTAAAAAAAAAGTCGATGCTGAGGGGAATCGAACCACAGGTTTCAGATTGCGGGTTGGTGCCCCAGACCACGCGGCTACACCACTCACCGAGACGAGAACAGCGGGCAGCAGCCACACGGCGGCGGCCACGGGGCGGAAGGTGGTCGGGGCGGCGTTGCAGCGCAGGCGGTACGCCAGGAAGGCCGTGTTGGCCAGGAACCAGCCGCCCGTCACCAGGTGCAGGTAGTGCAGCGCCAGCGCCACCCACTGGCATCGCAGCGGCTCGCCCACGGACTGCGGCACGCAGGGCGGCACGCACAAGGCCGTCAGCAAGGTCAGCTCAAGGTCGACACGCAAGGTCACGCAGGGTCACTCACCTGCACGCCCAGCATGAACACGAGGTTCTCCACGATGAGGGCGAACTCGACGTTGAACAGGACGGCGGTGGAGACGTCGACGTGGCCGGGCCGCAGCCGCCTGGTGGCGGAGGCCAGGCAGAGGAACTGCGCGACGAGCGCCAGGGCCGCGCCGACGATCACCACCTGGACGAACACGGAGGCCGTAATGGTCGTCATCGTCAAGAACAGGCGCCAGAAAAGGGCGCTAATCGTGGCGGGCCGCTTCGATAAGTCACTTCGATTAGTCGCCTCGTTTCGATGCAAATGTGTGCGGTCCGCGGGCCGGGCGGGCTTGGCGTCACGGCGGGACGACTGCGCGCGGTCGCCGAAACATCGGTTCATCGCCCTGTCTCTGTCGCACTCACGGGGCGTCCCTTGGGGTGCGAGAGAGACAGCGCGACGCGCTTCGGAATGGCGCGGCCCGATTCAGACCCTTGCAGACTCGCTTTGCAGGCTTTGCAGTCGCCGCCAACGAGTTCCTCTTTCATGCCAATCGTCAGGCTCGCGCTTTGAGACTTCATTACCACTCCTTTGGGGGAGTTGGCGGGGCGGAGCGCGGAGCGCGGAGCCAGGCAAGGCGACGGGACCGCGCACCGTCAGAGAGACACTCTTTTCATGCTCTTTCTTCTCCCCCCGCGCTGCCGTGGGCCATGGGGCCGTGGGCACGCAAACCGCGACAGCGCCGCCTCGCTACCTGCTCCAGGACCTCCAGGACCTCCAGGACCTCCAGGACCTCCAGGACCTCCAGGACCTCCAGGACCTCCAGGACCTCCAGGACCTCCAGGACCTCCAGGACCTCCAGGACCTCCAGGACCTCCAGGACCTCCAGGACCTCCAGGACCTCAAGGACCTCCAGGACCTACAGGACCTCCAGGACCTCCAGGACCTACAGGACCTCCAGGACCTCCAGGACCTCCAGGACCTCCAGGACCTCCAGGACCTCCAGGGCCTGCGCCAGGACGCAGGAACCGCGGCAGAAGTCTTCCCTCGGCCTGTCTTTTCAAGTCCCGTCGCCGACTCGGGCATTGAGTGCCGCCTCCCCGACGCCCCGGCCGGGCCCGGCCCAGTCACCCGACGACGAGCTACTAACTCTGCTCTCTCCCCACCCCGAGCGCAACATTTCCAATTCAAGAATTCCGTAAACAGCCTTGAGCAGTGCTCTGCCGCCGATGCACCCTGGCTGGGAGCCGCGCCAGCTGCAGTCCTGGAGTGCACTTCCATTTGCTCGCCTCGCGTGGCGGGGCGGGGCGGGGCGTGGCGGGGCGGGGCGGGGCGTGGCGGCCCTACCCAGTCCGATCATCTCGGCCAACCCACAGCCACAGCGCCGCACCGAGACACCGACCCGTTTCGAGCTCGCTTCGGGAACGGCTGGGAATGCGGATTCCGTCGAGTCCGTCTCACGGAGCGGCCCGGAGCGGCCAAACCTGACGGGACGACCGCCCGGCCCGGTCGGCACTCCGAGTGATTGGATGGACTGGCTGTCCCCACCACGTTTTGCAGAAAAATTTATCGATTTTCGGGGGGAGGTACTCGATTGCCAGACCTGCCGGGCGCCTTACGGAGGCGAGGTAGGCCATCCCGTCGAACAGAGCTGCCTCCGGACTGCCTACCTCCCAGGCGGCTCGGCAACAGTGTTTGTGAGGCTGTGACGGTGCTCGCTCTGGCTCTGCGACAGCCCGAGGGAGAGGAGGAGATGCGCTCGGGCCGGGCGCCGGGCCACTCGGCGGCAAAGCACGGCACTGCCGGCCGAGTGGAAGTTAATTCAAAGCGAATTATCCATGAAATTCGAGGGCGAAGTGGCGGTCGGGTTGAGAGCCAGGCAGCGGCCGTGCGCCGTGCGCTGTGGGTCACTCGCCTGTCCTGCAGCGCCTGCGGACCGGTTGCGACTCGGGTTCCGAGAGTCGCTCTCGTCTCTCTCGCACTCACGGGGCATCCCGTATCGGTGCGACAGAGACAGAGCGACGAAAACGACTCCCAGTGTGCTGCCTCGCCTGCCCAGGGCTGCCCAGTGAGGCGCAGAGGCACGTCGAGGCAAGTGCACGAGGCAGCCCCCCCCCAATCCAGCCAAGGGTCCGCACAACTTTCTGGGCCGCAGTGGAATGGGCAGGGAGAGGGCAGGGAGAGGGCAGGGCGGCGGAAAAATTATTTATGAGGTACGGCTCAGATTTCATTATTGCCGTTTGTGCCGGGGATCTTTTTTTTTTTTTGAGGACGATGAGGTGGTTAAGGGAGAGTGAGTAACGCAATTTCATCGGACTTATTCAGCCGACTGGCTCGCGCGAGTGAGTGTGTGTGTGTGTGTGTGTGTGTGTGTGTGTGTGTGTGAGAGAGAGAGAGAGAGAGAGAGAGAGAGAGAGAGAGAGAGAGAGAGAGAGAGAGAGAGTGCACACACCCGCTCGAGTGGTTCTGCTTGCCCCGCTGGAGTCAGGTTTCATTTTAAAACCGTGGCGGCGTCTTCTGCGCACACACTGCCTTCGCTATTGTGTTGCGGGAGAGAACCCCGACGGCCCAAATCTCTGCAACTTTGCACCCCGCGGCCCCGCGGCCCCAAGGCGCGGGGCGTGGCTCGGTCGGTTACGATGGCAAGCGTGGAGCCTTGCGGCCTGCCGGCTCCGGGTTCAATTCCCAGCGAGGGTGGCGTTTTATTTATGCATACCACGTCAGCCCGGCCCGGGCCGCGTGAAATTCGGCATCTCCATACACTCCCGGCGACGGGCTGGAATCCGCGGCTGCTGCCGGCTGCCTTCGGGGAGGCCCTCGGCGTCGATCACGCCGTCATGGTGCGTGGAGTACAGTGTACACACACCAGGCAGCAACTAGCGGCCAAGTCGGCCCCTGCACTGTAGAACCTGGTAGAACCCACCTGCTTGCCGGCGGCGCCCTGGTTGCGCAGCATCAGCTCGGCGCGCTCCCGCTCGCGGTAGACGTCGCCGTCCAGGCGGTCGTGCTCGCGGAGGTCCTGGTCGGCGGCGGGCTCGACGGGCAGGTCGAGGATGTCCTCGCCGGGCACCACGCCGCCGGGCTCCCGCTCGAAGCCGGCCTCCAGCACGCCGGGGAGGTCGCCGGCGGCGCGGACGTCGCCGACGGGGCCGAAGACCACGTCCACGCCGGGGTCCTCGGGGATGAGGTCGTCGCGCGCGTCCCGGCCCACCGACAGCACGGCGCTCGTCAGACGCACCCGGGCCACCTCCACTGGCGGGGCGTCGTCCGCCAGTGACGCGCGCTCGCGCTCGTCGGCCTCGTCGACGGCGTCCTGGCGCAGCGCGGCGTCCGGGTCCGGCACCACGTCGCCCTCCGCGCTGTCCGGGCCTGCAACAGTTTCACAGTGTCAGTGGGTTAATTGGACGCCGCTACACTGCCGCACTCCACATTTCACTGCGAGTCTCCCGGCGGTGATTTCGGACCAGAATGGCTGCTCCGCTCGACTCCGCTCCTCGCAGTGGCCCGGAGCAAGCGAGCAAGACAGTTCTCTCTTTTTTTGACTCTTTTCCCCGTTCGTCTGGGTGAAGATAGACTGGTGAATGAGATTGGCTGCCAGGGGCGGATTTCCTGCAGCTTCAGGGCCCTGCCCCACCCCGCCCCGCCCCACCCCACCCCGCCCCGCCCCACCCCGCCCCGCCCCACCCCGCCCCACCGCGCCTGGCCAGCGCCTAGAGCTCGCAAACAAATTCAGTGTCTCGGATGACAGGCAAAGAAATCCCTCGTCGGAATGCTGGGCGCGGGCGGCGCGGCGTGCAATCCCACCAAGAGAGGCTCCGTTCCTGACACGCGTAAGGTCGGAGAGGGGGCGGGGGGCGCAGGAGTTAGTTTGTAAGAGATATCCCAGTGCAGAGGCAGATCCCCTCCTCCCGTTACCTGACGCAGGGCGTGTTACTGTGTTACACAGGGTTGTTAACGGGGAATGGCAAGTTTGTTGTGCACAACAGTTGGCTGCGCCTAGCGAGCTTAGCCCTCTTTGCCGCCCGGCCTGCTCCGCGCCCCGCGCCCCGCTGCCTGCCGCGTTTCCTCTTGGTGATCCCGAAGGCCATGCCGCGCCCCAGTCCCAGGACTTACCGTTGCCGGCGGTGAGGTTCACCGACGTGTCGGGGTACTCGGCGTACATCGGGTACTGCTCCTCGTCGGCGGGGCGCACGGTGGCGGCCCGTGCCGTCGACGACGCCGACGGCGCGGTCGAGGCCGTGACGGTGGCCGACGTGGCCGCGGCCGCCGACGGCCTTTCCGCTTGGCTGGCCGTCCTGACGACGGGCTCCGTGGTGGGCGTGGTGGAGTTGGCCGCGGCCTTGGTGGCGGGCTTGGTGGCGGGCCTGCTGCCCGCGGTGGGCGGTCGCATGGTGGTGGTGGCGGCGCGCGGCGCGGTGGAGGCCGAGGCCGTGGCCGGTTTGTTGGCGGAGCTGCCCCGCGGCGAGGCCGTGGGCGAGGCCGTGGGGCTGGGCCAGGCCTTGGTGGTCGTGGTGGTGGCCGCGGCCGACCAGGGCGACGACGCCGTCGTCTTGGCGGCGATGGGCGGCGCGCTCGCGTGGAGGCGGTGGCGTATGGCCGGCGGCGCTGAAACAAAAACAACAACAAAAGGATAAGAAATAAAAATCAATCGTTAGTGAAAGGGGATAGCGGGGAGCCGCCGAGGCCTAGGGCAAAGTTTCCTTCATAAGTGCGACGTCGCCTGCTGGCCTCAATCCCAGCACCACGCGCGCACCCACACCCACACACCAACGCGCGCACACACACGCGCGTCCCTGTTTCGCTGCTCACATCGCGGATTCCTTTTGAGCCGAGTCACACCGTCACACGAGCCCTTTGTGCGTCTGCAAGCGACCTGCAAGCGTCGCCTTGGCGTCGCCACGCCCCGACGGTGCTCCGCGCCGGGGCCGCGTCGGGGCACAGTGGGCCAGAAGACCGGTGGAGGCGGCCGAAACTCTAGACGCGTTTTGAGCTCCAGAGTCACTAAATGGGACTCGAATCGAACGTGTGACCCCACCGGATTGCTCTCCGAACGAGGAATCCATTGGTGGGGTCACACGTTCGGTTCGAGGCCTGTTTAGCGACTCTGGAGCTCAAAACGCGTCTAGAGTTTTGGCCGCCTCCACCGGTCTTCTGGCCCACTGTGCGGGGCCGCGCCCTCCGCAGGGACGCCGTTCGCCTGTTTGTTTGGCCTGCGTGTCTCTCGCCCTCTCAACTATTCCGCTTCACTTTTACGGATTGCTGCATCTTTGGCGACAACAAGTCCCCCACCGCCCGGGCGCCCTGCTGCTGCAGGCCCCGCCACGCCCCGAGAGAGAGAGGGAGGGAGAGAGAGAGAGAGAGAGAGAGAGGAAGGGAGGGAGGTGGCCGTCGCTAATTGAGTTGGCCCGAAAAGATGATTGGCTGCAACATTGTTTGCAAACTTCTGACGCGGCGCGCGCCAAGAGACTCCCCCTCCCCTTCCCCTCCGGGTCGCGCCGCGCGGCACAATGGACCCCACGGGGCGCGCGGACTTTTAAAAAATATTTTTTAGCCTAAAGAAAAGAGAAAAGGGTCTGAAAGGATAGCGATCCATCCGTATCCTTTCAGGCATGGGGTCAAGGCGATCGCTCTGGGGGCCGGGGGGAGGGGGAGGGGGCAGCCCTTGGAGAGAGAGAGAGAGAGAGAGAGAGAGAGAGAGAGAGAGAGAGAGAGAGAGAGAGAGAGAGAGAGAGACCGTCGAAGTTGGAGGAACAATGCCAGTCTTCTGACAGATTGCTCTCAGTGTCTCGTACAAAAAGCGAGCGGCGGGCAACAGGAAAAGAATAATCCAATCCGGAGCGGCTAAATTCCCTTTTCACGGCCAAGCAATCAAAAAGCCGAAAAGGCCGACGTGATTAGCGCCGCTTTGTCGACGCTAATTGCAGGCGGGCTGGCTGCTTGCCTGGCCCGGCCTGGCCGCCGAGAATCGGATCGCTGATCAGGCAGTTTCGTCTTCACGCGGCACACACGCCCCCTCGATTACCGCTACCAGGTGGCCGCTAGGTCGCCGTCGACCGCCGCCAAATCGCCGTCGACCGCCACCAGGTCGCCGTCGACCGCCGCCAGGTCGCCGTCGACCGCCACCAGGTCCCCGTCGACCACCACCAGGTCACCGTCGACCGCCACCAGGTCGCCGTCGACCGCCGCCGGGTCGCCGTCGTCAACTTTTTAATGACGGCGGTCCGATTTCCCTCGTTCCGGCCGGCCAGCGAAATAATAACGCACAGCACAGCAGCCCCCCGGAGGGCCCGGCGGCCCGGCCCCGGGGCTGGAGCGGCGGGGGAGGCGAGGGCGAAAGGGGTCCCGGGGGAGCCGGCCCGGTCCGCCCTGTTTTCCGTCCACTTAAACTGATTAGGAATACACGTCCCGCAGTGGACGCCCCGCCGGGCCTTGCCTGGATTGGCAACCGGAGACTCGGAGAGAGGGCTTATAAGCCTCCGCGACCCTTATCCAGCCGCGACCTCGGCCAGCCTTGGCCGCGCCGCCGCGCCGTGGCGGTGCCGTCCCGCCGTCCCGGCCTCGGCGAGGCTCGGCGAGGAGGATTAGGCAGGGCAGAGGCCGCCACGCCGGCCCCGCTCCTCCACGGCCTCGGCGCCAAGCCTCGCGCCAAGCCTTGCGTCAGGGCGGGCAGGCGGCGAGAAAAAAATCTCACATCCCCTCTGGGACACTCTGATGTTGCCCTGAGTGATTTGTGGGGGCTCCCCCCACCCCTTCATATGGCTCGCCATTTGTCGAGACAGCGGCGCGCTAGCGCGCTCTTCGGCACGGCCGGCAAGGCGTGCTGTTTCGGGGGCGGGGAATATCACGCTGCGAGCGTGTGGAGTCTGGAGTCGGGATGAAGCCGGAGCCGTGCTGGAGGCATGCTGGAGCCGTGCTGGAACGGGAAGGAGCAGGCTGTCCGCGGCGCCGCGCTCCGGACCGCAAAAGACATATCTCTCCGTTCCTCCGCCGTGCCGGCGGCCGTAAAACGAAAAACGGACCGAAAGCATCAGCGGGAATCGAACCCGCGACCCCGCGCGCTCGCGGACGGTAACAGCCCGCCGCACTGACCCGTTATCGCATGCTCAGCGGCCGTAAAAAAGGCCGGCAAGCGCGGAACTAACCTTCGCCAGGAGTCGAACGCGCGTAACTGCTCGCCGGAATGATCGAATATAGCCACTGGCCCGCGAACCATCTCAGATAGCGAGCCCGCGCGATGGCGTCACTTTCACCTGTCTCGGCGCCACGGAGAGGAGCGAGCCGTGATTGGCGGAGGGGGTCGCAAGTGGGTCTAATGGGAGGGGCCGGCCAGGAGGTGAGGGGCTGGTGTAAGTGCCCGGCGGGGGGACGGGGAGGGGCACAGTGAACTGAGCCGGGCAGGGCTTGGCGGGGCCAACGCAAAACAAACAAATCACTGGCACGTAAAATTGGCTCTGCAATTGAGAGCGTTTCGGCTGTGTGCTCTGGGCCGGCACAGTCACTGCGCGGGCGTCCAGGGCCGGGCCGGGCCGTCACTGTAAGGGCCCCGCGTACCCGTCAGGGCCGCCAACCCTTGCTCGCTGCTCTGCATCAGTGTCGCCACACAAGCAGGCGAAAATTCCCACGCCGCACTAGTGTCGAAAGGGTTGCCAACCTTTTTCCCGCATTCAGTGACAAAGAGAAGACGAAGCGCGCGCGCACGCAACCGAAATTTTTCATACAAGATTTCCAACAGAGTGGCGCGAAACGCTTTTCAAGGGACGCCATCCACGCGGCGCTGGCTCGGGGCCCTTCTCGGGGCCCAGCCCAGGGAGTGTGGAGTTGAGTCGAGTCGGGGGCCTTCCACTGTTGTTGCGTAGTTTGGCGTTGGGTGCAGCGCGGCAAGGCTGGGCAAGCCTCGGCGCTGCACTGGTGGCGGCCGAGGCACCAAGCAGCCAACCAGCCAGCCAGTCCGGGGCGGGGCGGGGCGGGGGCACAAAGTTGGCCGGCTTTGGCGTCAGTTGGCCGTCGGCGTCCCGTTTCCGGGAATTAAAATCCCATCCAAAAGGTGAAAT